CCTACCCGGAGCCCTGGAACCGCGGCAAAGCCTTGGGCTACTGGCTCACCTACCGCCTCTGCGGCCAAATCCTCGGCGGCGCCATCAACCTCGGCCTCAACGCGGATAACGACCAGGCTGGCAAAGTCTCGTACACGGTGTTCATCATCTTTATCGCCATCCAGGCTGCGGGCCCGTTTGTCGGGTTCTTTTTGAACAAACCGGAGCAAGTGGAGAGGCAGGATGGCAAGAAGGTTAGCCTCGCGATTTTGGAGAATCCGTGGTATGAGATCAAGGCTACGACGAGGAACTTGTTGAAGCCCAAGTTCCTCTTGATTGTGCTTTGGATTGGCCAGGCTGTCTTTGCGGAGGCCGTGTTCTTCACGTATCTTGCCTGTAAGTCTTTCCAAAAGCTGTCCACCGGAGGCTTAAAGCTAACGTTGTGCTGCAGCATGGTTCTCTGTTCGATCTCGAGCTCTCGGATCCTTCCTCTCCGGCATTGTGGCCGTGATTTCCGGTAACCTTCTCGGAGTAAGTAGCTCTCGCAAGCTCGTAGCTGGAACCAAGAGGCAGTCACTGACGATGCTGGCAGCACTGGCTTGATCGCGCCAAGGTATCACTCAAGCTCCGCACGAGGTCGACCTTCTGGACTCTCGCCGTCACCCAGGGCGCTTGGTGGCTCTGGGCGACCATCCTCGCGACGCGGTTCCGCCAGACCCGCCCTGTCCACGACTGGGCCAGCCCTGGCTTCGGCGCCGCCTTTGCGGTCTACATCTTCCTTACGATCGGATTCCAGATCAACTATCTCTTCCTGTACGTCAAGTCCTTCGTGGGAAAAAAAAAAACCTATTTGGTCCTTGCCGAGACGTTTGGAACTAACATAGACAAAAAGGTACTTCATCGTCACGAACCTGGCCGAAGGCGAAGAGGAAGTCATCCGCTACGCCGCTCTGCTCCGCGGAGTCGAGTCCGCGTGGCAGGCCGTCAGCTACGGCTTGACCTCCATCACCCTCTTTGGCGAGGTCGGCGCAATCTACCTCAACTTTGCGCTGTGGGCCGTGGCCATCGGACCCGCGTGGCTGGTCCTGAGACACTTTGGCTCCGGGCTCTCGGCGCACGTGGAGGAGGTGCGCGAGGTGAGCGGCGTGGTGTCTAGCGAGGATGGCGAATCGGACGTGAAGCACTAGAAAGTACCTTACAACGGTGGGATAGAATGCGAGTCAGCGTTGGTGATACCCGAGTTGCTGGGACGCGGTGCCGGCTGGGGCGGACAGTTCCTGTCAGCTTGATGCCGATCGTCGAGACTGGGGTTGCGATATTGCTATAGAGATTAATGATTCCCTGTTTCTCCGCGCTAAATAATCTTTATATGAACCTTAATTAAATGGTCTTTCCGAACATTTGTGTCATGTGTTGATATACTGCCAATGAAGTGATCACCAAGTCGAGATCATCATGAGATGAACCGATGCCCAGGTCAATTGGCGAATGAAAGCTTTGAAGAGACAATCAATCCGCGCTTCGAATTGCCCCTCATGGAGTTTGCCTGCACCGCTGCCATATTGCGGATATTAACCATCCGCCAATCTGTCGCGCGGTAATCTGCAACTCTCTGGTTGGGCCATGTCATCGGAGCTAACATGACGTGATAACCTCACGTCGGAAACCTTGAACCCCACGACCTGCGGTTGCCGGCGGGAGCCGCTGTATCTCTTCTCCAGCCAAGGGCATCTTGGCCCCGCGAATTACAGCTTAACCGCCTTTTGCAGCCTAAATAGCTAAATGCCTTACACGGAGCTTTTTCAGGAGCTTTCATTTGAAGAGCCCAGGCGAGCTATCGAACAGGAGCTTCCCTGGAAACAATCAGACAGGCGGAGTGCAGGGGTCGTCGGCATTGGCGTGGGGTCCGCCCATGGCCCGTTTGTGCGTCGTCGTGCGTCTTGCGCCACCGAGCCGTCCGGTGGCATCATCGCCCCGGCTCCACGGTGCCGGACCCACGCCGAGTATCGGGAGGGGCAATTTGGGGTAAAGTTCGACATGTTCTGTGTAGGACCATCGCCGGGGGGTGTGTCTCCAAAGGGGACGTCACGTCGTTTGACGCGAACCCCTCCATGTTACCCCGCGGTGGCCATGGTTTCGCTAAATGATTGTAGTAATAGTCTGGAAAAAGTTTTGTTGTATTTTGTTGTCGCAAAAAGCCAGCAACTTCTTCTCTTTTGGAACCTTTCTCGGGACCACAATTGATTCTCGCGAACTTAGAGACTCCAAGTACTCCAGGCGCAAGAAACTCGAAGAAAACATGGCCGACACGACGGGAACCGCAAAGCCGAAGAAGAGCCTCGTGCTCAATGCCTTCGTTGAGATGTGTATGTCCTCCAGGTCTCGCCGTCAAATCTCGCATTGAAGCTGACAGTTCCCGTGTAGGCAGTGGACATCAGTCCCCCGGACTCTGGAGACACCCCGAAGACGAGTCGTGGCGCTTCAACGAGATCAGCCACTGGGTTGAGTTGGCCAAGCTTCTCGAGGAGGCCAAGTTCCACGGAATCTTCATCGCCGATGTTCTTGGTGGGTTTGACTTGTCATTCAGAGGCTCGAACTCGAAGAATCAGCTAACACGCAGTAGGCGGTTACGATGTCTACTCGCAGTCCCTCGACCCCGCAAAGGTTTCCGGTGCCCAATGGCCCGTCAACGAGCCATTGGCCCCCGTGGCTGCCATGGCCGCGGTAACGAAGAACATAGGCTTCGGCGTGACGGTATCGACGACATATGAGCAGCCATACCACCTCGCAAGGCGTTTGTCGACTCTCGATCACCTCACGGGCGGTCGGTAAGTTGCCCAAGGACCGGTCGCAAAGTCCTCCTGCTAATGATCTCACAGTCTCGGTTGGAATGTTAGTCTCCGGAGGGAATCTTTTGAGGAAGCGCATACTGACCAGCACAGATCGTGACGAGCTACCTGGATTCCGCAGCAAAGAACATGGGTCTCACCCAGCAGCCCCAGGTAAGATAACGCGAAGCCGTCTCATGATGCGGGCACTGCTAACAGGAGCAGCACGACGACCGATACGCGCAAGCCGAGGAGTACATCAAGGTGATGTACAAGCTCTTCGAGTCCTCGTGGAGAGACGACGCCGTCAAGCTCGACCGCAAGTCAGGCATCTACACCCAGCCCGATCTCGTCCGCAAAATCGACCACAACGGGCGCTTCTTCACCGTCCCCGGCCCGCACATCGTCCAACCCAGCCCGCAACGCACCCCTCTCCTCCTGCAAGCCGGAACCTCCAAGGCCGGCAAACAATTCGCGGCGCAGCACGCCGAAGCCATCTTCGTCTCGGCGCACGCGCCCGCCGTGTGCGCGAAGAACATTGCCGAGATCCGGGAGCTCGCGCGGACGCAGTACGGCCGCGACGGCAAGGACATCAAGGTGCTCGCGCTCGTCACGCCGATCTTGGGTGCCACCGAGGAGGAGGCGCAGGCGAAGCTGGCGGATTACCGCAAGTACGCCTCGCACGAGGGCGCGCTGGCGCTGTTTGGTGGCTGGACGGGTATCGATTTGAGCAAGTATGGTGACGAGGAGGAGTTGCGGCAGGTGGAGAGCAATGCTGTCAAGTCGACTGTTGAGGGGTACGCGCGGTTCTCGCCGGGTACGTCGAAGTGGACGAAGCATACTATTGCCGAGCACGTCAGCATTGGTGGCAACGGGCCCATCTTTGTCGGTACAGCTTCGCAGGTGGCTGATGGGCTTGAGACGTGGATTGAGGAGGCGGATGTTGATGGATTCAACTTTGTAAGTGTCGATGCTGTTGTATTTGACTTGACCTCTGGGCCTTGTTGGTGGAAGATGATGATGCTGACTGTTGATGCTAGGCGTACGCCCTCTTCCCCCAGTCCTTCAAGGACATTATCGATCTTCTCCTGCCGGAGCTGCGTCGTCGCGGTCTCTTCTGGGACGACTACGCGGTTCCCGGTGGAACGTACAGAGAGAACTTTTACCGCAAGCAAGGCCAGTCGGGACCGCTGAATGAGCACGTCGCGGCATCATACAGATGGAAGGCGGGTGTCGCGGCCGAGGAGGCGAAGATTCCGGAATAAATAGTCAGAATACGTCGTGGCGTAGGTGCATTTACCTAGTCTTCGCCGAAACTGATCGAAGACGGGCAAGAAAAGTAAAAAGAAATAAAATGAAGCTATTCCCAACTTTCGAGACCTTGCAAATGACGGGTCTCCTTCCTCTTTGAGTCTTGAAGATGCGAGAGCATGAGAAGGGCATTTCCTGGTGCCAGACACACCTTACGTAAGGCAGGTACGTAGCCCGAAATGGAGCCAGATCGACCGGGAAGAAGTGGATCTATCTCCACGAATGAGACGACGCAGCGCAGTCTTAAGGCCGAGATTCGTCCGGCCGAGCTGTGCCGAAGGTTGAGCTCGCATCTACGGAAGTTTGAGAAAGTACTCCAGTTTATTTTTGTCGCTGGCATCTCGGGAACCGCCTTGACGGCGGGGGCCTTATGCCGCTTAGTTGCTCGAAGCTTAGGGACATGAATTTCAGAATGTCTAGGAAAGACCACGAGAAAATGCAGAAATTGCGCGCATCAACAGACAATACATGAATAGTGGAAAATCTCCTGATTAAAGCTCAGCCCAGATTTGCTTGGAAAACAGCGGATTTTACGAGACTTGATTGGTCAATGGCTGTTGACTCTCGGCTCAGACCGAAAGGATGCGAGGTGAGGTACCTGAAATTAAGCCCTACAGGCTGCCAACAGCAGTCTATTCGGGCACATTGTAAGCCTTACAAAGTACCTACCTAGCGAAAGGCGAAAGAGACAAGAAGGTTTCTCGCTCTAGCGGCGGGCATGCGGCTGCGTCCTTGAGGATGTTACCGACTGTTACCGAGCCGCAAACCCTCAGCGAACCAATCATAGTCTCCAATTTGATGACATAATCCTTCAAGGGGCGCTCTCTACCTCTAAGAAAGCTTGGAGCTATCTTGGAGCTCCCTGGCCTCCAAGGGTTGGTGCTGCGTCATTCCCCACCGAGGGGCTCAAGGAGTGACCTGATCTTTTTTCCCATACCTTGACTCTTGACTCTTGGACTTTTCTCCTGAGTCCAGAACAGAATGGAGACGCGCTCTTGCCATCGGAACCAAACAGAACTGACAGTATAAAGTCTCGCCGGCGCCCACTTTCTGCCCCAGAGCCACCCCGTTCTTCGTACCTTCCTCTCCTTGTTGTCGTCGTAGGCCAGGCTTCGAATCTCCATCCTCTCCTCTCCCCCCTCCTTTCCACGGGCATTGACCCTCTGTGAACCTCTCCACTCCTCACTCTCATTTGCGTGGTCACATCCCGCGATCATGGCGTCTCCTATTGCTTCCGCCGCTCTGCGGGCTCGCGTCAAGCGTCCCTCGATGCTCAAGAAGCTCACCAAGCCCCAGGATCTCCTGCAGCACTTCCCCAATGGCGCCTACATCGGCTGGTCCGGCTTCACCGGCGTCGGCTACCCCAAGAAGATGCCCACCTACTTGGCGGACCACGTCGAGCAGAACTCGTAAGAAACTCTAGAAGTGCCGGTAGACTGATCTCCCCAAAGCTAACCCGTGTTGTTCCCGTCGAAAAGCCTCCAGGGTCAGCTCAAGTACAGCCTGTTTGTGGGTGCCTCCTCTGGCGCCGAGACCGAGAACCGCTGGGCCAGCTTGGACATGATCAACCGTCGAAGCCCCCATCAGGTCGGCAAGGCCATCTCCAAGGGCATCAACGAGGGTAGAATCCACTTCTTCGACAAGCATCTGTCGCAGTTCCCCGTCGACCTCGTATACGGCTTCTACACCAAGGACCGCCCAAACAAGAACCTTGATGTCGTCGTAGTCGAGGCCACAGAGATCAAGGAGGACGGCAGCATTGTCCCCGGTGCCTCCATCGGTGCCACGCCTGAGCTGGTGCAGATGGCGGACAAGATCATCATCGAGGTCAACACCTCGCTGCCCAACTTTGACGGTCTCCACGACATCACCATGACCGACGTGCCCCCGCGCCGCAAGCCCTACCTCATCACCAGCGTCGAGGACCGCATCGGAACAAACTCCATCCCCATTGACCCCGAGAAGGTCGTCGGCATCATCGAGTCCGACTATCCCGACCAGACCGGCCCCAACACTCCCGAGGACGACGGCTCCCGCGCCATCGCCAGACACCTGATTGAGTACTTTGAGCACGAAGTCAAGCACGGCCGCCTGCCCAAGAACCTTCTGCCCCTGCAGTCCGGTATCGGCAACATCGCCAACGCCGTCGTCGGCGGCCTCAAGGACAGCAACTTCTGGAACCTCAAGGTCTGGACCGAGGTCATCCAGGACACCTTCCTCGACCTCTTCGACACGGGCCACCTCGACTTCGCGACCGCCACCTCGGTCCGCTTCTCCCCCGAGGGCTTCAAGCGCTTCTACGACAACTGGGAAAACTACCATGACAAGCTCCTCCTCCGCAGCCAGCAGGTCTCCAACTCCCCCGAGATCATCCGCCGCCTGGGCGTCATCGCCATGAACACGCCCGTCGAGGTCGACATCTACGCCCACGCTAACAGCACGTGCGTCATGGGTTCCCGCATGCTCAACGGTCTCGGCGGTAGCGCCGACTTCCTCCGCAACGCAAAGTACAGCATCGTCCACACCCCCTCGACGCGCCCTTCCAAGACGGACCCCCACGGCGTCAGCTGTATCGTCCCCATGTGCACGCACATTGACCAGACGGAGCACGATCTGGACGTCATTGTCACCGAGCAAGGTCTCGCTGATGTCCGCGGCTTGAGTCCCCGCGAGCGTGCGCGCGTCATCATTAAGAAGTGCGCCCACCCGGTGTACCAGCCCATCCTCCTCGACTACTTCGAGAAGGCCGAGTTCGAGTGCCTGCGCAAGGGCATGGGCCACGAGCCTCACCTGCTCTTCAACTCCTTTGATCTCCACAGGGCTCTGGCCGAGGAAGGCAGCATGCAGAAGGTCAAGAGCTTCAAATGAACAGGCTAGCATCGCCCGACGCCACACTCAAGGATAAGAGCTTCAAAACAAACATGAGCTAAAATCGTTTAGAGCCACCTGAAAAGGCAATGTTGGATTTGCTTGCATTGGTGTATTGGTGCATTTTGCAAGGCGGGCCTGCGATCTCGGAGCATACTTTGGTAGAATACCTAGTCTTCTTTTTTTTTTGTTGATAGAGAAATGATACCTCGCTGGATAATGGAGCATTTACATTAAACGCCAAGCATTGGCAGTGGATACCGCTTGCTGTCAAAAGTGAAGATCAATCTCTCAGCCTCCGATCCCACGCAGCGCCGGCGCGCCGGAGATATCACTCGGCGGGAACACCCTCGGCCGCCCGACCCCCGACCCGGAACCCCGATAGTCTCGGCCCGTACAATCTTCCAACTCGAAGCTCAAATCTTCAGCCCCCGGCCCTGTCATCTCCGACTACGCTCAACAACCTCCTCCAACGCATCAACCGCCTCCCCAGGCCCATCCCCATGACCGCCAAAATCCGCGCTCACCCTCTCGGCCGCACTCCGGAACTTTCCCTCGTCGATGACCCGCTCCACCGCGCGCCTCAACACATCTTCGCTTGGCGCGTCGGTCGCGAGATCGATCCCGGCGCCGCTCCACGCCACGCGAGAACTCACGTCGGCCTTATCCTCGCTCCGACCCGCGCAGACGAGAGGTACGCCGAAGCGCAGCGCCGCGCAGACGAGAGGTACGCCGAAGCGCAGCGCCGCGAGGACGCCGTTGTAGCCTGCGTTGGTGACCATTACGCCTACGTGCGGGAGGAGGCGGGCGTGGGGGATGAAGGAGGCTACGCGGGCGTTTGACGGGAGGGAGGATGCTGGAAGGTGAGTTTCTGCGTTTGGGGTTGTGACGATGACGAGGAGATCTGGGCGGTGGGCGAGGGCGGCGAGGGTCGGTGTGATGAGGTTTGCGGCGTTGGTTGCGTAGGTACCCTGCGTTACGTGGATTACCTTCTCCCGCGGGTGCGCAAGCATCTCATCCCACCATTTCGGTAGAGGTTCTAGCTCGTCTTCGTTGAAGAGCGGGAGCAGCGGCCCGACGAATTTCACGGCTGGGTGGAGGTTCTTGCGCGGGAATTCAAAGGCTGGCGTCGTGGGCATGATGTGCAGCACATCCGATCTCGTAGAATCGTAGAACCCTGTCGCCGGCAAGGGAGGAAGACCGAGCTCCTTTCGGTGGGCGTTGAGCGCGGCCGTGAGTTTCGGGTAGAGAAGCCAGCTCGCGGCCGCGTGGGCGAGGGAGTTGAGCCACCGGCCGAAGAAGGTTGTCGGCGGGAGCCATCCCGTGCCCCACGGCGGGACCTCCGGGTCGAGAGTGACGAGCGGGTTAATCCCCAGTGTTGCGTACGGTACGCCCGTGAGATCCCGTAGGCAGTGGGCGCCGTAAGCGCAGAGGTCTACGAGTAGGATATCCGCCTCGAACGCCGGCGTTCCGTCGGAGCCGTCGAGGACGGCGCGGTAGGCTGCGACTTGGTCTGGGACCCTGTCGAGGAACAGCTTGCGGAGGGTGGAGACCACGGCGGCGAGGCCCGAGGTCTCCGGGTCCGGCGCGAGGGCGGTCTCGTCGTGCGCGGCGAGCGGGGGCGGGGAGGGGATGAAGAGGGCGCCGGTTTGCGGGATCATGTGGGCGTGGGAGGCGGACGTGAGCCAGGCTACGGTGTGGCCTCTGCGGGTGAGGGCGAGGGCGATGGGTTGCATTGGGTGGATGTGGCCTGCGAAGGGCATCGTTGCGATGAGGACCTTCATCGTAGTTTGGGTTGCTGGAGGCGATCCGGGGGAGTGTGTGATCGGTACGTGAGATACCATCCGCTCACGGCGTCTTGGCTGGAAAGAGTGATGACGTTGTGAATGTTGGTCACGTATTCTTGTCCGCTACTACGAAGTGAGATGTGATGATGTGAGAGTGATGCCCCTCCCTTGCCGCACTATGCAATCTCACCGGGCGCGGATGCCCTGGTCGGTTAGTGGAGGATCGCATGTCAATTAAGGTTAAATGAGACGTTGTGATGGACGTCTCTTACCCCCTCAGTATAGCGATTCAAACGAGGCAGCTTCTTGAAAAGAGTTCGATTGAGATGAGATATCTTTCTGGCTGTGATTCAATCTCGCAGTCTTGGAATTTCACAAATATCCTGATATACATGACTCTGTCACCGAAGTGACCGAAGTTCACTGCTCCGACCGAAGTTATGCGGGGCTTTGGGCGAGACTTCCCGCGGATCTTGAGCGTGAAGAAACACCGTGTTGACTCCCGCTGCTTGAGTGTCCTGTCAAAGCCAGTAAAATATCGAATAGTCGAGGCTGGGAGAAAAGCGATAAGTTTAACATTGCCAGAGTCCTGATCTGCCAGCAGGCGTCATCAGCAGGTGTACTTCTGTTCCGGACTTTCTCCAAAGGCTACCATATACATACCTTCTCATTGCTCTCAAGTCCGCGGCGCGAAGGACGACCGGCGCCCATATTTCACATCGTAATGAACCCTCCTAGGTGTGCAATAAATTCAATTCTCTATACAGTTCGTATCAAAAGACTCAGAAACACACAGCCGTCATGGTCACTGCAGATAATGGACCCACTACAATCTCAACCAATTATTTAGATCGAGAATGTCACCAGTCCTCTTGCCAAAACGGTCTTGCATCTTCTCCAAGCGTTACTCAACCGCTGGCACATGCACTTTTGCCAAAATGGCTTGCCCCAGTTCCAAGGCACCATGGTCATTATCAAACTCATCTCCTTTTGTCCCAAAATCGAATCATGCTTGTAGAATCGTGCAGTCAGCTGCTGACAGGGCAAAGAATCCGCTATGACCGATCGGCGTTAGCTGCCTAGAGCGGTGGTCGCATGAAAATCCAGAAGGATTCAACATTTCAGGACAGATCTTATGATCCGTCGACAGCATCATCAGTCCGAGCATAACAGAATCGTGGCCTTTCATGAACAACGATTGCATATAACGCAGCACTTTCTTATGATATCCTCTCGTAGTTCTCAGATCTTTCTGTACACAAGATCTTGAGACTAAATGCTGAGTAGATAAACATCTTCGCTCATCGCTAAATATCAACACAATGCGGCCATTGCTCCGCGGTATAATCATCCTCGCCCTCCTCGTACTCGCCACCGCCAAATGCCCAACATACATCGACACCGTAGTTCCCTCGGGGCAGACCCGTCGCTATGGCAATCGTGAGCCGGGCGATCCCTTGCTGGCAACCATGCACGACGTCCACAAAACCCTCTCAAACTGCGACTCCATCAAAAGCCTCAAGCTCCGCGTCACCAGCCTAGGGTGCTCCGAACATCCCGACCGCTGGAACTTCCCACTCGAACTAGCCTCTGGGTCCACATACCCCTCAGAGCTGGAGTCACTAGACCTAGAGGGCTATCATTTCGGCGATCGGATATGGGACGAGATCCAGGAGCCGCCGTTTCGGACGGGTTCCAAATTTTGGGATAGGATGGAGTGGATTGGCTCTGGTAGAGCCTGGAAGTGGTTGAGGTATCTCCCGTTATCCGCGGAGCAAAAGGACAATACGAATCTGGACTTGTGGCTGGATGCCATGGATTTCGGGAGCATCAAGAACCTCACACTCAGACCCAGATTCGACGAGTATCCTGACGTGACGAAGCTGGTCCCACACTTGAAATCGCTCCAGTCGTTAAAGGTCTATGGCGCCTGGGCAAAAGACCTCATCTTGGGGGTTCCCGAGAACTCGCTGACCCATCTGTCGTGGATATTCAGCCGCGAGACCGGCGCCTCTGTGCTGCCTATCATACGACACCACGCGCAGTCTCTCAAAAGCCTCGAATGGCGCGAGGCGGAAAGCGGAATTCGACAACGGAGGGTGATGACGGCGGAAGAACTCGCAGAACTCGGCCGCATGGCGCCGAACTTGGAAAGCATTACCCTCGACATCAACCGGAACGGAACATGGCCAATGGAGCACTTTGACGCGCTGGTGACCAACTTCCCGAAACTGACCAACATTACAATCTTTTTGGAGTTTGCGAGCGAGTGCCGGCGGCAGCTGGGTGCCTCCACAGAGGGGATCTATGGCTACGAGCAATGGAAGATGGGCGAGGCGTCGGATTGCAGCAGCGGAGTAGAGTCCATGGCCCAGCCGCCGCTGGAGATTGAACAGGCCTCGCAGCTGTGGGGACACTTGCGGGAGAAGAAGGTTGGCGATTTGTTGAAGAAGGTCGTTTTCTATGCCGGTGACTGGGAGAGGCCGTGGGATGGGGCGTTGGCTGAGAGTGAATGGCTCGAGGGCAGGAGATCATTCTTCTGGTGTGAGGCTTCGGACAACCCGCCGAAAAGATATAATGGCGGGTGTGTGGGACTGATAGCGGACGTTCCCACGAGGCGTAGTTCCTCTGGGTATGATGAGGACGGATGGGATGCCCCTGGTTGGCAAAGCGAGCTGGCTCGGCGAGCCATGCGGATGGAGCTTTGATGTGGATGACTCTCAAAGATGAAGCGGAATAATCAAGATGGCGTTTCGTGTGAGCCGGATGTTGTCTCTCCCTCTGCGCGAGCGTCTCTTTCTATGAGCTCTCTGACCCAGCTTCCGATGCCAACGGAGACGCAGACGGTACTCCACCTTGGCCCGTCGCCGAAGCACACAAAGTTTTGAGACAGCCACCCCACAAGCGCCTGCATCATCTCCCCGTCAGAGGGCGTCCCCTTGCCTTCCGCAACAGCCTGCATCCTCACAGCCTGGTCGGTCGTAATCTGGTTGAGAATATTCCCGGCAACCTCTTCCGGCGTCTTCCAGTACCTGCTCGGTCTCCCCTTCTTCTCGCACTCATCCCTAACAAGTTGGTTAATTTCCCCGCACGCCCGCTCGGCGAACTGGTCCGAGAGCTTGCGGAACATGTACCCCTTATTTTTGTAGTCCATTCTCGCCTGGGCGAGCGAGAGGAGATACTTGCGGTCGGTAAGGTGCTTGGAGTGGCTGAACATGCGGTCCAAAGCTTTGATGGCGGGCGGAGAAGGGCGGGCATCCCAGAGGTCGACGGTGTAGTTCATTGTTGACCAGAAGATGCAGCCGGCGAGGGTGTGCATGCCCGGGCCGAGGTAGGGGACGATGTCGAGTGGTGGTTCAAGGATGCGGATGAGGCGGTCTGTGTCTACCCAGAGGCCGTAGTCTAGGCGGGGACTTGACCTGCCGCTGGCACGGATGCGCTTTTCTGATGTTGATGATGGATTCTCTGGCGCTGCTGAGCGTTGAGTTGTTGCTGGTGGTGGTGCCCGGGATAGGATGTTGGGTGGTGATTGAGATGGTCCTACTTCTTCAGCATCATGGTCGTCGACATCATCCATGGCATCGTCTTCAGTGATACCGGCCAGGTCTCGTGCACGACGGAGTGCGGCTCTTAGATCATCCGACACAGACTGTCCCTTGACAGTCCTATTGATTTCGGCTATGGCATCCTTAAGATTGCTATTCTCCTGCTCAAGCTTCTGTACCTTGGAAGCATGTCGCTTGCGGTACTCACGCTGAGCAATGACACCGCGCTCGCGACGTCGGGCCTGGAACAAGTTAGTCAACCTTGTCTTGAGCCTGGTTGAATATCTCACTGGTTGCATTACCTCGGCGTCGGCTGGACTCATCCCTTTTTCTTGGTACAGTCTCGTTATGGCAGCCAGACGTTACAGCAAGTGAACGGGCTCAACATGGACCGAATCAACGTTATCGTGGATGAGAAATGGCATGAGTGGTGTTGTCTTTGTTGACGTCGAGGGAGGATTAATCAGCGAGAAACTGGGAGAGGACGGATCATGTCAGCAAATAAGCTGGGGCCCACTCCGGCCGCCGGCCCATAACGTTATCCGTCTCACTCGGCCCAGCGCCGGTCCAGCGCCAACCATGTGGGTCTTGGCAACTTTTGTCCGAGTCCGATCTTCAAACGTTAACGGCTCCAAGTGTCGTCCAAAATTTGCAATCCTTCCTCCTCGAGCTCGACAGTCCACATTTCAAATACTGGCTGACAGAGCAAGGTGATGACGCCCCAGCCTCACTGCCAGTATCAGCCATACTAGGCGCTGAGAAAGACCTTAGGCGAGCGATGGGCTTATGTCCGAACGGGAGAGATGATGTGTTCAATATCGGCATCAGCATAATCAGTGTCTGCAATCTGAATACATAAGTGATGGAGAGGAAGGGGAGATGAGCGCACTGTTGATACAATTTCCATCGCATCCAAACACCACTTCCGCTTCAACACCTCATCAACGCCATTAACCGCTTCTAGACTCGAAACAGCCGACATCATGTCTTTCCCTGCTCCCACCAAAACCTACCGCACGCAGCCGTATGCCGCAATCTCCCCCTCTCGCCCAGAACTCTCAACGAAAGGCAAAAGCGCCTTCATCTCGGGCGGCGGCGCAGGAATCGGTGCCTCCATCGCCAAATCTCTTGCAAAATCCGGCATCGCAAGCCTCGGTCTCCTAGGACGCACTATCAAGACCCTCGAAGAGACGAAAACAGCCATTGCAGCCTTGAACGCAGAGACAGAAGTGTTTCTGTATACCGTCGATGTCACAGACGCAAAGGCAACAACCGACGCCCTCACCTCCTTCGCCAATTCCGTCAACGGAGGGAAGATTGACATCCTCGTTGCCAACGCAGCTTACATGTCCGACCTCAAAACTATTGCCGACTCGGACGCCGAAGACTGGTGGCGTGCTTTCGAAATCTCCATCCGCGGCAACTTCAACCTCCTCCGCGCATTCCAGCCCGTCGCGAAACCTGATGCTGCCGTAATTCACATCTCTACGGCCGCCATCCACCTCCCTTACATGTTTGGCTACTCTTCCTACCGCGCCTCCAAGAGCGGCGCGACAAAACTGTTCGAGTACTTCCGCGACGAAAACCCGGGCTTCTTCGTCTTGCAAGTACACCCTGGCCTCATTGGCGGCACAGTCATGTCGGAGAAATTTGCACCGAGCGTGGAGAAGTTTGGACTCACATACGACGACATTGCCCTGCCTGGGGACTTTGTCGTGTGGGCCGTCAGCGAGGAAGCCAAGTTCCTGAACGGGCGGTTTGTTCACGCGAACTGGGATGTCGAAGAGCTGGTGGCGTTGAAGGAGAGTCTTGAGCAGGATCAGAGTCGGTTTACGATTGGGTTGCAGGGCTGGTACTAGATCATGTGGAGGCTGGTCATGCCTACTATAAGGTCTGCACGGAAGCATTTGTGAAACTTCTTGGTCGTATCTATTTGTCTAAGCGTATCTGTCCATTGACGAGAAGACCGAGAGAGTATTCACCAAAGCTCGCTGAAATGACCTTGGCCAAGACTTTCCACTGAAGTATAGAGCACTTGAGTATAGGAACAAGAAGAGAATAGCAAATACATCACGCTGTCCAAAGATCCTTCGTATCGCTGATAATTACACCGGATAACACCCCTGCTAAACGACTTTTCGTTGCTTCCATGGTTTATTTCCTTGAGAGGAACGCTGACGCGTCTGGCCGTGGATCGGCCGAGGTTGCCTGCTAGCAGATGACTCCGACTCAGGAATCCAAAACATCTTCTCGAACTCCGGTGGGATAGGTGCTTGCCTAGAGAATGTGGTCCAAATCTCCAACACCGCGTTGTCCCACTTGGAGTTATAGATCGCACGCGCTCGCCTGCCTTGTGCTCTGGCCCTCTTTGCGTTCTCACGCAACAGCCCGAGAAGGGAAGCCAGCTTTGTCAGGGCTTCGTGGTTCTCCCATTCCCATTGCTCCATCAGCGGCTCGCAGTCTTCTATGCGAACGCCGGTAAACTCCCCCTTTTCGTGTTGGCCAATGACGAGGTGGGGGGTTCTTCCAAAGTACATCTGGTTCATTGCCTCCCACGGTTCCATTCTCGGCCGGGCCTTGAGCTCCATTATCGCGGAGGGGGGAGTTTCCTGGCCTCTCCGAATGGCTTTGGTTTCGCTGCTGATCCTGGCTTTCCCTTTAAGTGTGTTGTTCTGGGGGGTACTTTGTATGACGCTGGATGGTGCTTCAACGTCGGCATCGTTTTCTGTTGCATTCTCCTCCGGCCCATAGTAAGCACCATCGACCTCATGACGCACTAGGCACTTCATCTCGCCAATGTTGTACTGGATAACTCGCTGGTGCGAGACGGAACTCTCAAGACCCGCGTCGTACTTGGTGAATGCTTCTTCAAATGCATGTCCCCAGCTCTCCTCTCCAGGTTTGGAAGACATTCTGAAGCAATTAACCTCCTTGCGCCAGGCGATGAATAGCGTGTTGTTGACCAAGTCCAATTCGACCCTGAAGGACTTTTGGCTTTTGCCTCTGGCAAAGTCGAAAAGGTTTTGCAACCCACCCCGGCTGATGACGATTTCCACATCGTGGAAGTTGGCTGACGGATCCATGATGCTGGCTGCTCTCATCATTGGCTCGAATGGCATCACGGGGTTCCTGTAGACGTTGTGGTCGATGTATTGGATACCTTGATCATGGTCCAATTTGATAGGGAGCGAAGGCTTTTTGTATTTGGCAGCGCCGCCTGATTAGTGTGCACAATTAGTTTGGACATGTGGTCAAACTCAAGAAGAGAGTTGCTTACCAGGTACAAAGATCGTCGGCTCAAAGGCGTCCGACCAATTGTATGAGCACACCACAGAGAAGTCACTGACAGCCGAGGCCATTGGCCCTTCAATGGCTTCAATGAGTTGATTGGAAACAGTGCCAAAATGCTTGAAAGCTGCAATGTACAGCCATTCAGCCTTTTTCTTCGATTTCTTCGAGCTGCTCTCCACGCGTTTCGCAATGCCGTCGACATCTGGCTCCCAGAACGAATTTTTGGGTCTCTGCATTTCTCGTTTGAAAGGCGCCTCTGCAGCGAAATTTCTTTGAATCCCATGTCTCGCGTCGTTCTTAATTGCTTTGGTGGGATTTCCGGGAGAATGATACTTCGCGGAGGGGATCACCTCCGGAGTTTGAGGCAAAAATGACGGACGAAAGACCCCTGCCTGGGGATTCATGCCGGAGGTCTTCTCCCTCGTCATGTTTGACTGAGTCACTTCTTACGGGATGAAAGCACGTCTAAGCAAGGCTAAATCTAAGTGCGATGTCAGAAAACCAGACAATAACCGTTGAAGTCAAATTCACGGTTCTAAGAGCTCCTAGGTGCATAATTACAGTTGAAGCTTGTAAACATCAGTGCACTGCACTTGAAACACATGTTTATACAGAGAATCTCAGACATTAGGATGAATTCATGAATGGGGGCGAAGCGAGATACGAAGGGAGCCGAAGACAAGAATTATCCAGACGAGGGCGTTTTTCACTCACCTTGGTGAGCTTACACACACTCAAAGCACGTGACGGCGTAGCTAGTGTCGAAATAATACCGAACACCTAATTCGAGTGGTCCTCTTAGACTTGGGGCGTGAAGTTGCAAGCGTCGAGATGGAAACCTTGAACGAAGACTGCGTCATACTCTTTCTCTGACTATCACTAGAAGTGGAATGCCGGTAAAAGGAGGTTGAGGAAAGGGGTCCACTGCACAGGAGAGATGGAATAGACTTTTCCTATCCAGTAAGTAGTCCACTTATCCTAGGATTTCGGCCAATAGAAGCCTTGCTTTGTCAAGGGCGTCTCACCTCGAGTTCTCTGCGTAGTAGGTATTAATTTGAATTTCCGCGACGCATCTAATATTACGCTATGGTTGGTAGAAATAAACAGACAATTGCGGCCGTTACTTTGGCTGGAGACTGGAATACTGCTATGGGCCAAAACCCCGAGACAAGTGGGTGGGGTATCCGATCTAAGTCAACAGCCACCTCCCGAATAGTCGAGCTCCGGATGAAAAGACAGAGAGGAAGCCACTACGACTATCGGAAGGACCTTGAAAGAAACCGAGACCGTCCGCAATCCGAGCTTGATGCTTTAAGGTTGAGCGTTGCCTGTATACACATCACGGGAATGGCCCGCACTTGGTCTCGTACAAATGTCTGGCCCGACACGAAGCCCCTATCCTATTCCATCGAATTCTACACCTTTAGCCATTTCTTGTAACCGTTCGTTGAATAGATATCTTGTTTGGTTTCGAAAAATGTTCGGCAAGTTGGATCCTCAGATACAACCTTAGTGGGATGACATAGGATCCAGACCCATGTCCAGGGAGCTGGCTGCGAGTCCAGAGCCGTTGGGATGACGGTGGTGGAGCCAAGACATCGTTCAGCCTCCCGGATGCGGCCCGCCAACGGGGTTCAAAGGCAAAAGATTCCCCAACCGGCGACTCCCCGCAGCGATCACCTGGTCCACTATCACAATATGCGGTATGAGGCGCCCGTGTATTTGGCTCTCCGGATCCTGAAGACCCCTTGGCGGAGACGAAAGCGTACCTCTCCATTGTCCGAGGTGACGAGAATCCGGACCTCCTGCTTCTGCACTGAACACTTCAGAATACTCCGTAACTGTCATTGAGAAGATACTTGGCATCTTGTGAATCTATAAGAACCGTGCCCTTTTCTCTCCTCAATTGACAGAAAAAGCTTTTAACATCATCACAGCACGCTCGGCCAACTCAGCAGCTCCATTTCCATTCTTCAACACCCTTGATCCTTCAACAAGAAGAAAGTTCTTTTATCCCAATATGAAGGCCTCAACTGTTCTCCTCGGGCTCTTCTCGTCCCTCGTTATCGCTGCCCCAACTACACCCGCGGACTCCAATCTTGTTGAAAGACTTTCCATTCTTGCGCCGGTCTGTCAAGGAACTCCAGTATGCTGCTCGGCTGATGTCGTCAGCGGCGTGGTGTCTTCAAACTGCGTAGCACGTAAGATATCTAGATCCATCTTTGGTTCACAGGAGCCCAGCCGGAGTCTTTTCAAACTGACCAAGGAGCACAGCTGTCACGCCTCCAATCACCACCCTCGGATTTCAAGCTGCATGCCTGCTCGATGGGAATCGTATTGCCCGATGCTGCTCCCTCAGCGTTGTAAGTGTGCTAATAGTGGCCCTGACTCTGTGCTGTGGCTAATCTCCAAACACTACATGTAGGCCGGATTGGCAATCCTCTGCAAGGCGCCTGGCACCTAAGGAGCTCTCTGAGTATCTTGCCACGTCTTTAACATTTCCGAGAACATTGTGCTTCGATAGGCGATTTCATTACTGCTTAGGCTTCTTAATAATCTAATACTTGTCATTTTCCAGCCACGGTTCCCAAGCTTTGATACATGGTACCTCATGCACGCCACATCATATGTAATATCATGATGCTTCGCAATCGTTGACTGTCTGCAATATTCCGAGTTTGCTCGTAATCTTTCAATAATGGTCTGCACTGGAATCCAGGGCTTTGTGAAACTGAAGATACCGCATGCGCGGGTGTCACTAGCCCACATACTTTCCAGCATCATTCTATGGGTGGATGATGAACAGCACATGTGTGGATCTTTGGTCGAGTGACGGAAGTCACCGCATGTTGGTTTCTACTGTTGCTTGTGCCATGCAGCTTTCTTGATCGCACATATAACACAACCTTTGCCGAGATGAAAGCAGGTTATAGACAAATACTCAGAGGTAGACACTAATTAATCTATAATGCTCGGGCTGGGTTGAAACATTCTGGAGGCACACCGCCTCATGCCAGCTCGACTAATGATCGGACATAGAATCTGGATTTACTGGATTGCTCTTCACTGTTGGCCACGAAATGTTTAATCCAAATGAGCGATGCGCCGATTTAGAGGGAGACTCGGTGATACTCGGATACGGAGCCGGAAGATGCAGAGCGGGGCCGGGCTGTTGTAGTCGGACATCCCGGCGTTAAATCCCATTCTGGTCAATTCACTACTCGCTGAAGAGATGCAGCCCAAAGGTGGACGTCGAAATAGACTGTTTTCTCATATAATGCCGATCTGAAAGGGCTTCTTTGTTTCTCAATCTCAACGTCTAGTTCATCGCTGCTGAGTCGTCTTCCGCCCTTATCCCGGCGGATGGCGAGCTGTGGGGTTCCGGAACCCGCTTGGAGATGTCGCCATCGCACCCATGTAAGCACGACGCGATGTCGGACACAATACCGACCCCATCCATGGTCAAAGGCTCCAATCCACGTTTTTTCTTCGCATGTGCGCCGACGAACCGCGCCCGCGCCGGCGGCCTGCATCAGGGATAGGTCGTCCGACGATGAGCGCCGCCCAGGATTGTCTCATTACGATTTACAATAACGCCACGCGAACCAAGCTTATTCCAGCCCATTGGCGGCCGGCCTCAACCAATCTGAACTGGACCCGGTATCTGACGAGCTGCAGAGTCCAGAAACCGGGGTGGGGGTTCCAAGGAGTAGGCACAAAGAAAAAAATCAGACTGGTGCTACATCACGGAGGTTGGCCGCTTGGGGAATTCTCTAGAGGGAGGAATGAATATCCCGCAGGACAACAAGGGTAGAGCGATGCAGAGACCGAAGGAATCGGCAATTTCTTAAAAGCTCGACATCGAACGGACCCCATTTCCTCCCGCACTTGCATGACCTTTATCCATTGCGTCGGGACCGAAAAAGTAACCTGAGCAGCAATGTCGTCAATCGATCAAGCAAAGCAACCACATGAGGTTGATGAGGAGGTCCAGGATGTTCAACCTACGAAGCCTGTGTCGCGGTTCACTCGCTGGTACCGCTCGCCTCTATTCAACGTTATCCTCGTGGGCTTGATCTCCTTCACTCAACCCGGTATTTGGAATGCCCTCAACAGTATGCGATATCCCTAGACCTGAGAGGTTTCAGAGACTAATCGATAGCTCAAGGCACCGGCGCTGGCGGCCAGCAAGAGCCTTACCTTGTCAATGGCTCCAACTCTCTCACCTTTGGCATCATGGTCTTCGGCTGCAGTTTCTTTGCAATCATGGCCAACAAGATCGGTCTAAAGACGGTTCTGATCATCGGCACCCTTGGATACGCACCATACTCGGCATCCATGTACCTCAACAACCGTTACGGCGTAGAATGGTTCGTGCTGTTTGGTGGTGCGACGTGCGGTATTGCAGCATCTGCGTTGTGGGCAGCTGAAGGTGCCATCGCCTTGGGATACGCCGACATCAAAGACAGAGGAAAGTTCACTGGTATCTGGCTTGGTCTGCGTGAGCTCGGACAGCTTCTCGGCGCCGCCATTCAGCTCTCGCTGAACGTCAAGGAGAACCAGCGTGGAAAGGTCGGATACTCGACCTACCTGGTCTTGATCGCCCTGCAATGCCTCGGTCTCCCCCTGGCGTTGCTCGTGTCTCCCCCGCAAAAGGTCATCCACAGCGATGGCAGGAAAGTTGCCGACCCCACCAAGAACAAGGCTGTCCTGGGAGAGTTCCGCAAGTGGTTGAAGCTGCTCAAGAAGAAGCAGTTCTACCTTTTGATTCCCATCCTCGTCGGTTTCAACTGGAACAGCACGTACCAGGGCATCTACTTAACCAAGTACTTCTCGGTCAGAGCTAGAACCCTCGGCGCCTTGACATCTGGTATCGCTGCATCTGCTGCCAACATCTTTTGGGGCTGGTTCTACGACCTGAAGTGCTTCAGCCGTCCCCAGCTCGCTAAGATTACATGGTCCTGCTTCTCAGTCATCATGCTGGGCTTGTTCGCATGGCAGGTGGCCAATGAGAAACTGTACGAGGATACTGTTCCCAAAGTTACTCTCGATTGGAGCACCCCTGGATTTGGACGCGGATTCGCAGTCAATGTGCTCTTCCGGTAAGTCCACTACCGTTCCGTTTGCACCTTGTCAATACCAGTACTAACAACTTCACAGCTTCATGAACGAATCGCACTACATGTTCGTGTATTGGATAATGGGCACCTTCTTCGACGATATCGAAACTCTGACACTCGGCGTTGGTCTTGTCCGATCCTTCGAATCCATCGGCTCATGCCTAGCCTTTGGCATTGGTGCCGTCAAGGTTTCGCCAATGGTGAATCTCATCGTTGCCTTTGTCATGTTTGTGGTTTGCGTCCCTGCGACATCGTGGGCCGTTCTGCTTGTGCCAGAGCGACCTGTCGACAATACGAAACTAGAGGCGGAAGACTCTGCTGTCGAAGACAACAAAGTTGTCGCAAGCCCGGTGGATGTGACTACAACAGCGGCTGCTGTTGATGGCCCTCGAAATGTTTAAGATACTACGATGGCTTATGTTCATGATTTCCAACTTCAGGCACAGCCGGCTAGTTGGTTGAAGTAGATAGTCAAGCAATGCCAGACTATAGGCAATGATAATTTAGTGAAACCTTTCTTAATGTTAAGACTATATGCTGTTGCATTCGGTGCTTGCTATCCTTGTCTCGTTACTTGAACTTGCTGATCGAACTATTTACATCGTGGGACTGAATATGGACATAAGAATTGGGATGGAAGTGTGCACGTCAGACTTTTGGTTTCCTTGCAGCCCCTCAAGTTGTCTGAACTCGACATCGTATTTAGATCGAAGCCTTTTCGAGATTCTCAGTGAAGTTCTCGTCCTTGAAAGGCACATTGGCACTTCCAAAATCCGTGTTGTTGAGAGCAGTTTGCATGTTCGTCGACATAGCGTCCCAGTCAAGAACAGGGTATGTCTTGCCGGTGGTATCAGTGAACTGAAGCTCATGATTCAGTAACAGCTGTGTGAAGTATTCCACCTTCACACCATCACCCTCCCGTTGCGGATTAGTCGACTTCTTGTAGTCGCCGTGACCCGAAGCAGCTCCACCCAGGATCGTCGGGTCCGCAACGGAGGGGTTATTGAGCCAAACCACCACGCTCTCCCAGTCGTGTCTATGCGAGCCGGTGGAGACGCCATCGTTTGGCATGTCTTTGGGGAAGTACCAAGCATACATGATGGCGTACTTGTCGTTGTGCCATGTGCCTCTGGCATAGGTCTGGCCCTTGCTGGTGTCTTTGCAGCCTCCAGTAGAGCTGCCGCTAGGTTTCAGGCCACCACTGATTCAATAGTTAGCCTTTTATCATTGTGAAAAACTTCTTGGACATGTACCTTGTGTCTCCGGCATCATCAACAGCCGTGTATGGCTGGCAACCATGAGCGATGTGAAGTAGCGGATTGAATCGTGCGATCGCTTTGCCGATAGCGTTATCCTGAACTTTCTGGGCGAGAGGACTAAGAGCGTCGTGGCCGACCTCTCCGCGAGAGTCTAGAACATTGGCAACGGGAGCGGCAAAGGCACTGCTCACGAGGCTAAGAAAAGGAAGGAAGACGGTGGAACGCATGTCGGAATGAATGACTACGGCTTGTTGTTAATCAAAATCTTCTCGGCCCTCAATGAACGGTCATCATACCAGTATCGAATGAACTAGCTGAAGTGAATGCTGGCAATGAAGACCTGCTTCCCTGGTTGCCGTTTAGGATCTATGGTGAAATGAAGTTGATGGAAGTAAGTCGGCACAAACAGCAACAAGGGCAGGGAAAAGAGCGGCTTTTGAAACCTACTCGATCCCAGAAAGTGTCAAACTCGGGCTAGGCTAGATCCAATTTCCAGTGGATTGAAAAATCGCATGAGTTAATCCTGACTGCAGGTCCGCAGCACGCGCGCGGCGTTCGGAAACCTGATCGGGTCCGAAGTCTATAACATACAGGGGTTATGACAAATGAGACGAACCACTGGTGCTATCAAAAGATCAGTAAATGCTACCATTTGACATCAGTCAAATGAGGTTGGGGTGATCTGGCCTCGAAAGCCGCCAAACCGGAACCGAGGCTGATTACCTGCGTCTTCCGCATGGCATATTGCTTGCCACACCAAGCCCTATAGCTAAACCTTGATATGGTTTTTGAAGGTGTTCAATGTCCAGAATTAGCGACGCCTAGGCTGCTGGGCTGAGAACCTTCATTTAGCTGCGGCTTTCTATGTGGGCCCGTTGGTGTCGACCGAGTCAGTCCAAGGTTACACTCTTCCCCGTGTCCATGATTGATAACCCAGCCTTCACCACCGTTTTTGGTCCAAGTTGGTCCACAACTTTCAATCTGTTACTGGACGACTGCCAAGTATCCCGTGGCCTACTTGATTGGGGAGCACAAGGAGATCCGAGTTGTCCGTGCCAAGAAGGCTCCATCCGCCTGACCATCGTGGTTCTCGCGTGGTTCTCCAGAAGGTTAAAGGCGTCTATCTTTGTCACTAGTCATGGTATCAAAGCATTGACGCACCGCCTTGTTTTCCGAGCCGCAAGGCCATGGGGCCACTTCTTCGCCTGACTGCTCGGGATGGGATGGCGATTTTCAGCATGCAACTCCTCAGGGTGTTGACAAGTAATTCAAAAAACGAAGAAATTGGGTTGATCTTCTACAACAAACTGCAACTAGCGAAGAATGCCCATTGAGAAGGGGTCCATTCTCCTACGAGACATCACTTCAATCCCAGACTTCTTTCAAAAACCTTCGCTTCCTTGCCAATCGGTTGAATCAAGGTATAGCTCCCGGACTTATTGAACTCTTGCACCCCGTTGAGCAGGTAAAGCGGAGTCATCTGTCCGTCATCGCTGAAATAAAGCTTTGGTCTCTCTCGGCGATAGTAGTCCAACTTAACACCATCGGTGAACTCAACGGTTGTGTTGTATGTCAGGGTATTATTGTTGTAAGTCCAAGGGCCCTGCCAATTGCGAGCATAAGCATGTGCTCCGACTCGCGGCCCTTTTCTGCCTTCCGCGATATCGACCATATGGTGGACCAGAATGTGCCAATGTCCTCGTTTATCTCTCCAAAGGAATGGATCTTCACTGCGTTCCGTGTTTCGTGGTTCGACGACAAGTTCGTGGGGTGCAGAGAAGTTGTCAGCGTGGTAGATGTTGTTCTTCTCCACAGCAAGTAGGATCTCGTGTGTGGGATTCTCGTCTGTCCACAACGGCCATGGTGCAGGGTTCGTGACGTTGATAACCTGCGGGATTGGCGTCGTCCATTCTCGAAGATCCAGTGACGAGGAAACCGAGATCGTGTTGTTCCACTTCTGGGATTTACAAACGTCGCCCACCTCGACGTCTTTTCCAATGAAGTAGATCAAGAATTTTTCATCAGCCGGGCTCCAAATAGTCGTGGGATTGTGATGAAAAGTGCTGAACAACGTTTGAGCGTAATTGTACGGTCCTCTCGGCCCCGTGCGAGACTCGGCTCTGATGATGGTGCTGAAAGGCCGCCAACCAGAGAGACCGCAGCCGTGCGACATTTGCGACGTTATGAGATGGAAGAGACCCTTGTCTGCGCGATCTTGGATAATATGGCCTCCCCAGGAAGAGTTTCCGGCGCCCTCCTTGTAGAAGTCTGACCCTGTCGCGTTCGTGTGATTGTACCCGGTCCAACGCTCAACTGACTGCAAATCCAGCTCGCTGCAGTCGGCAGAACGCCATCCTTTGTCGCAGATACAGGAAGAGTTTTGATCGCAAATGCCGTTGAGACTGCAGTCGTCATCCGTTTGACATCCAATAGCTCCTACCACCAGAGTGGACAAATAGCCAAACAGATAAATGCCTAGAAGAGCCCTCATCTTTCTCAATGTTGTACTTTTCGATGATTATGCTGATGGTCTCATGTTTTCTTGAAACTATGACTGGGAAAAGTGCAAGACAAATCGCTCTTGTATGCGCGACTTTCCTGGCTGCAGCTGCTTCCGTTTAGCAAGTCTTCAAGATCGGCGGAGTCAACTCTCGGCTCGTCGTAGATCTGTCCGAATTGCGCAGGTCTCCATATAGAGGAGCGGCGGAAGAATTGAGATCCTCGAATCTGAGTCGGCTTCTCCGCATTTCCCCGCGAACAATACCAGCCCCAACATCCTTCATACAAAAGCAACTTATCTGTGCATGTACTGAATAGGGCAGTTGATTATACTCTTGCATTCAAGTCGCTCTTATACCTGCATGTCGTCCACCATAGTGAGGAGCATATAAGTCTAACCGACTTCAACAATATAAATACCGCGACCCTACTACGATGCCCTTCAGGTTACTGGACCTCAAGCACCGATTGTAAGAAAAGATATTGTCCCAGGTCTTCACTTAAATTCCGATGATTCAGGATCCTACGGAAAAAAACGAATCTTCTGCATAGACTAGTACGTGTGGACACCTAAGGTAGCGTATGGAAGACTGGAATGAATAGTGAATAGCCCTAGGTCCGCTCAATGCTATCCGACAGGGAATACAGTAACCCGGTTTTGGACATAATCGCTACTCAAACGAGGAAACCTGGGATCAACACTGGGTCGGTTGCTCGCAGACGCTTTGCCTCCTGAGTAAGATGATGCCCGACGACGTCGAATCGCTGGTTTCACGTCACAAGAAACTGTATGAAAACAGATGAGGAAGAGACTCTTCGCCTATCGCGCCCAAGGTAACTTGAAAGCTCTAAGGACACAGTGAAATACCTTGAACAGTTGCTCGACCTTGCGGACTTGTACCAATAGATCGCGCATGTTGAACTTTTGCATGATTTTAGGGGGGAAAGGGGTCCTCGCGTTGACGACTGACGATGAGTGATTACCACACTAAGGCAACTGAGGTATCAGCTATCTAGGACAAGAGTTATGTCCATCCACACTGGTTTCGGGTCAACGCTACCATTCCAATCATCTAACAGATATCCAGACTCGTTTGGTCCCTGCAGTTTGCAGTAGTGGTGACCTTGGGACTCTCCTGGCCCTTTTCAACACCTTTATACTCCTGGCAGACCTTTGTAACACCGGTACCGCAGGACCCAGATATTGTGGCAATATCTCCGAAGTTCGAGTTGATGCCGGCAAGTAATTTGACATTGTTGGCCTTCATGTTGGCCACCACCAAGTTTCTCGGACCACCATTGTTTGCACAGTTGGCGCATGAGCGGTAAAGACGATTCCCGTTGATGACGGTGTAATCTTTGACCGTGACTGTTCCTCGGCCCAGGTGCGAGATCGTGTTGCTGGCACCTCCACGGACACCGCCTCCCTCGACGAGGATGTCGCCATTGCCACTGAGCACAATAGCATCTGTTTCATTACATCGAGGTCAGCCTTTGTTATCTTGGAGACTCTTTTCGCATCCCCTAAGTCAATCTAAGGAAATAAAATCTTACCTTCACAAGCTTGGCGAAACCAGACATTCTTCAGCGTGCAGGCACCTCTGCAGTGAACTCCTTCAACCTGGCCAGCACCAATAATGACGTTGCTGATAGTGGCGCCATTCTCAAGTACGAAGACGGGGTGGCCGCCGGGAGTCTCAACGTCGGTGTTGCACGAGCGTCCGCGATCGTACTCCTTGTTGCCAAAATCCCTCGACCCAGATATCACACTCGGCGCCGGTAGAGAGATGATGGAACCGCTTCGGCTTGGAATGTTGAGTGTTTGACCGGCAGCGGGGCTGGCGAGGAGCACCGCTGGCAGGATCAAGGAGATTAACATTGTGAACCAAATTTCAAAGGAGGCTCAGGTCGAGTGGTGAAGAAAGGTGCGCCTTTCCGGCATGTGAAGCCAGCTGGATAATATACGCGTGGTACGCGGCAGACTCTATGTTTACATGGGTCATTCATCCAGTGGGAAGGCTCAGACTTGCTATAGTCTTCCAAGGCAAGCAAGTTGATAACATCGAATTGAAGAACCCAGGCTTGGCAAGCTCTGGAACGTATTGAACGTAGCATCCCGCCATTTTGATCTCCGTGGAACCCGCGGGTATGTGTGAGAGTCTACGAGAGAACAACAATTGATTCGTGGCTAAACTACAACATTTATCATAATGGGAGTTTCTCCTGCGATGGAGTTTGCGGACCCTGTGACTCTCATTCGTCCTTGGTGGATTATCTGACCATGTCGTTCCGCTCTCAGGGTAGCTTGCAACAGACGCTTGCCTCAATAGAGTCGTGCCAAGACATGCTCATATCCTGAAATTTTAGCCGTCGATCAGTATGCGGTTCACCTCGCAAAGGCAAGTCTTTCATGTAATCCAAGCTGGACATGGTGCTGAGTACTCAAGCTATCGAAGCACATTGAGAAGATAGCATCATTTTGATTCTACTTGTGGGTTGTCATCCATCATTCACCTTCCACTCGTCAATCAACTTCCGCCTCTGATGGTTAGTAGCCCACCCCAGCTCCGTCTCGATACCAGAAAGTAGCTCCAGAACCAATTCCTGTTCCGGTCGCGTATGAAAAGCTTGTCCTGCCACGAACAGCGGCTGTACAGAGTGAACACGCACCGCATCAGTAGGATCCGCGAGGCTGATCCCACAAATCTCCTTGCAATGACGCAACACCTCTTTCTGGATGAGCCGATACGATCGCAGACGCGCCGACACAGTCGACCGTATTGCCGTGGATTCTTGGGGCCGGTTCACCAGCAAAAGAATCTGAGCCATATGATAGCTTTGCATCGTCGACGCGCACATCGGGATGTCGTACCAGACCCTCTCCATGTCCATATCCGTCTCATCATCACCCAATGCCCCGTGGCGATCAGAGAACCTTGTCCGGGCGCTGGGCACAAAGGTCGGCGGTAGACTCTCGTACCACTCCTGTAATTCGACTTCGAGCTTCGTCCATCTTCCCAGGAGGAGTTCCTGCGTCAGACCGAGCGACATGCGCTGGCCGGCGGGTTTAGAATAGTCTTCCGGGCGAATACCGTCCCCGTTGGTAATGTAATTCACAATCTTCCCAAGGAGCCACAAAAGCTCGTTGCTTTTCGAGTCTTCATCCACGTTGGTCGAGGAGCGGATATCGGCCGTCGAAAAGGGGCTGAAGGGTAGTAGGAGGTTGCGTTCGTCTGTAGCAAGGCCAAAGTTTTGCCAAAGACGGATGTGGTCCAAGTTGAGACGCGTCTGGGTTTCGCTTATGACTTTCGAAGCGCAGATGTTAGCCTTTTGGCCACGACAGTGTATGTGTTGAAAAGCTTACAAGCGCAGAGGAAATCCTGCCTTGCCAGACTCCAGAATATTGGCCCCTTGGTCGGAGACTGCGGTATCGAGACCGGAGAAGATCCTCCCAGAGCGCTATCTGAGGCAGAGTATAGTGACAGAGCCGTGAGATGCGCCTTCCACGCGTTCCCTGGGGCGTTCATCAACTCGTACATGCAAAGTATAGCAACTGCGGCAAAAGTATCCGCATGTTGGTCGCTCGTCTCACTATGTAGCGCATCGTCCCTTGCTCCGGCGAGAGTGATTGCGTGCTTTAAATGTCTGATTGCTTGATGGTAGTGTCGGACGGCGTGGTATTGCCAGTCGGGGGGTGTCGTAGCCGAGGGAGCCGCCGAAGCTCTCGCGCTGCGGGTCTGTCGGATCTCGTTGTCATTTGACTGTGTGCGCGATAGGTGCTTTGCTGCGAGAGCGCAGATTGCTGATTTGAGAAGCGGCCGAGTCGTTGCTCTTATTGGTATTTTGTATGAGAAATGCGCAGATGTATCAAATAGGTCCATCCTGCCGCCCACATTTTAGTAGTTGTACAGCCTCAAGGTAGAGGGATATGAAGAGAACAGAGCTTACCATTGCCCAGGTCCTTGTCTGAAATGTCTCAGAAGCTTTAGAGCTATTATGTTCATTTCTGAATCATCGTCGTCGCCGGTGTCGTCCAAATCTTCGTCGTCATCTACTTGAATTGTGGGTGATGGGAGGGCCACTGGGTTTAATACATCATCGTTCCCAACAGATGCAGTAACAGGTCTGCTCTGCACGACATCGCTATTCATTCGGAGGTCCTCAGAGGATTGTTGAGCGAACTCAGAAACTCCTTCCGACCGCGATGTGTAAGCCGGAGTTCTCCCACTCTCCGCATCCCGAGGTTCGGGTGTTGACAGCGTGTAACCCCATTCATCAGATGGTCCTCCTTCAGTATTGTGACTGTCATGCTGCAGAGGAAAATCATCGTCGGAGATGTCGTCGTCTGCCTCGAATGGGTTCGTAATATTCACAAAGACAACTGAAGCGGTTGGTTAGTGACAACATCAATGCTAGATTCTAGACACACATCGACCCACGTTCATGCGGGATATCGAGCCAGGTTTGATCTTCTTCGAACAGATTCTCGGCGACCACACGACCTGCAGAAGCCTTGTCTTGTCCTCGACAAAGAAGAGAGTGATCAAAATGACGAAATTTTGTGTCTTGCGAAAAGATGCATTCGCGACCAGACTTGGTACATTGCCCGCAAGCGGGTCTTGCCTCGTTGCATTTCAGTTTTCGCTGCCGGCATGTCAAGCTATTTGTTGAAGTTGTAAAGATAATGTGCGTTCTGATTGAAGGTAGCAACCCACCACCCATGATGCGAGCGCATGATGCCCACGCTACGGTCCAGAGATGGCCCGAAAAGGCCTCGACCACAGTCTCGACCGAGGGAGAAGGGGGCTCTGCTGGACGCGGTTGGTTTAAGGAATTATCCCTTGTAAGTCGTAAGGTGGGTAGCAAATGTGACGGTCAAGGGCGAAAGAGACAATATGGCACGAGGGAATAGATCCGAAGGTTCAGTGTGGTGGGTGACAAGAGAGGAAATCTTTCCGGCGGATGGTTCCGGTGGAACATGAAAAGGCGGGGATACCTTTTTTGATCTCGAGGGTGTACTATCGTTGACAGGCAGAGCTTCGAACGAATGTTCTATGCTATCATTTTCCGTCAGCTCTAGTGATTAGCGTTATCACGAGCTGATTAAGTCCCTCGTCGACCAAGTCAGCGCGACCAACGCGACGAAGCGCTTGAAACTTCAACCGTGTAGTAAAATTTCGTTGGGAAGGGGAGTGTATCCGTCTACAGGTCAGAGTCAGGCGTTCGGCAAAGTTACCTTACTCAGACACCGGCCAGAAGGGTCTGACGCTCATTGCCGATGGCGCAGCATGGACCAAACCGACTGCTCCCACCTCAAGTGGCAACTTTGCCGACAGTACCCTCAGTTAGCTTGTTTGCCAATTGGTCTCAGACGAGAGGCAGCTAAACTCAACGATGCCAACAACTTATAAATCTAGAACCCTCGATGGGCGGATTTTGAGTTATGGCAACTAATCCGAGCCGTATCGTTGTCAGAAAAATTGCACTGCATAGCACACGCGTAAGACAACAGATTCTTGGCGAGCATGACCCTGTGAAGGCCCAATAAACATGTGCACCTGCGGGCTAATTATCTATCGGATTTTTCATCAAGATGGCAAACCCGGTGGGCTTCATACCCGAAAGGAGAATAGCACGATATCAAGATGGACACAACATTCAGCCACCAAGCCAGTATAAGAACCTTTCGAGTGTTCTGAGGAAGTAAAGCTACGGTTCGCTCTCTGGTCTATGCTACAGGGCATTCATCTTGCCCACCACCGTCTCTAGATCGTGAGCCTCGATCACAATGAGACTGTTCAAGATGCCGCCGCTCTATGCCAGAGCGTCTATAGCTACGGGAGCATGTCTGATGCTGTGGGGGTGAGTCTTCTAAGCAGAGCTCTTGATTTCGAACTTAGGTATTCAACTAACTATCACCTCTCAGGCTCGACACCGGCAGCATAGGCCCAATAACGGCAATGGAGACCTTCAAGGCCTCATTCGGCCATTTCTCCGCCATCCTCCACGGCGCAATCGTCTCAACCCTTCTCATAACCGGCACGATCAGCGCCCTCCTAGCAGGCATGCTAGCAGATCAGCTCGGCCGAGTTGCCATGATATCCACCGGCGCCGCCGTCTTCGGCCTCGGGGCCGCCATCGAATGCGGTGCCGTCCACCTCGCAATGTTCATCGCCGGCCGCGCCGTAAAGGGTCTCGGTACAGGACTTTTCGTGAGCACCGTCGCCGTGCAGATCTGCGAAATCACGCCCGCCAAGACGCGAGGTTTCTGGGTTGCGTTCTCGCAGTTCATGCTCACGGTGGGACTATCCCTGGGATATTTCATCTGCTACGGAACGCGTCGTGTGGCGGATTCGTCGGCATCATGGCGGGTACCGCTTGCTGCTGAGGCGATTCTGGGGTTTGGACTTGCCGCGACGACGCTTTTTGTGCCGCAATCGCCTCGATGGTTGATGGCCAAGGGTCAAGTCGATAAGGCGCGACTGGTTTTCACACAGCTAGGCATCAGCGAGGAAGAGCAGCGGGAGATGCTGGCGTCCAAGGGCGGCCAGGAGGCAGCAGCAGCCGTAGTACATCCTCCCAACATGAGCATGGCGGGCACCATCAGAGCGACGATCAAGGACTTCCGGAAAGCTTTGTCCAAGCCCTTCCGCTCTCGCACCGCCTTTGGATGCTTCTTGATGGTCGCCCAGCAGACCAGCTTCATCGACGGAATTCTGTACTACGCCCCGTTATTGTTCCGTCAATCAGGTCTCTCAGAGGAAACGACATTCCTCTGTTCGGGAGTCCTGGCTTTGGTGATCATGGTTGTCACCATCCCGGCCACCATCTTCACAGATAGCTGGGGCCGTCGGACCTGTACCATCGTAGGCGGGGCTGGCATCGCCATCCTCATGTTCTTGATGGGGTCCTTGTACGCCGCCAACCAGGTGCGTGTCGATGGGGGTGCCGGACGGTGGGTCGTGATTGTATCCATCTACCTTTTCGCCATTGTTTTCAATGGGACTTGGGCGATCTGCATCAAGGCTTTCTTGGTTGAGAGTCTCCCGCGCGAAACGAGGTCCAGCGGTGCGGCGCTGGGGCAGGCTGCTAACTGGTTAGCCAACTTCGTTGTTGCTCTGACAGCGCCGCCGTTTCTCGCTGCGTCATCTTCGGGCCCGTACTTCTTTTACGGCGGATGTACGCTGGTAAGCGTTGTCGTCTGCGCCGTTTGGATGACGGAGACGAAGAGTCAGAGTCTAGAGGCCATTGAGGCGGCGTATCTCGAGCGCAAATCAGGCAAGGTTGATGAAAAGATGACATGGACGACGACGACGGAGGGTTTGAGCGGCTCAGAGGAGAATTAGATTCAGGTGAAGCCGATGTAATCAAATCGGAGTCAGGTTCGGGTTGACATAGAGCTGGTACCGTAAAGTTACATTGGCGTTTAGAGGGAAATCACTGTGATGTGTGTTAGCCAGAATGAATCACGTCAAGAAGGAATACCTCTGTACTCACGCGACAGCTTGGCGGCGGTGGCGAGAACAGAATCAAGAGCTCTGGTACAGTAGTCGCTGTGAAGATCTTGGATAATCTTGGAGAATTGGTGGATTTCCGGATGTGTATCAAGGGGAAAAGTCTTGAAGGTATCGAGGTTATGATTACAAATCTCTTGATCTATCCCAATGGTTTGTCAATGGCTATATTACGTCAAAGCGAAAATGTCATGACTTTATATACCCGAGAATAGGGCTTTGAAGCCGTTCATGATGACAACATCATTCATCGGTCGCTTCCGCAGGGAAAGCAATGCGGCCGTCATGGGAATTGCCCACTCCTCTTCATCTCCGAAACATCCCTGCGCAATGGTGCTGGCAAAGCGGAAGTCGGCCTTGGTCGCCGGCGTGGGAGAAGCGAAGCACTGGACGCGAAGCCTGCAGACCCTTTTTGCCAGTTCTAAATTTTCATTCGGTATCCCTAGCTCCGGGCAGAGCCTGAAAAGGCCGTGATCGATGACACTTTGAAGGGTAGCTGAAGAGCATACACCTTCAATCGATAGCTTGCCTTGACACAAATACTCCCCAAAGTTGTACCGGGTTTCTCGGCGCAAATTTCGTAGCTTAGACAGATTATACGTGCGTGCTGAGTCTTTCCCAGTGAATGCGTCAAGAAGCGCGATGTCCGGGATGAATGAACCTTCAGGCAGAAGTCTTGTGTCCAAGATATAGATCCAGATATCGGATGGGTCCTCGAGCCGCCCGTCTCTGGGCAAGATGCTCCGATACAGGGCGTATTGGAGGGCGAAAAGTAATGAGCTTGTCCAAGACATGAGATTGTCACCATCCCTGGCCCACCCGCGAAGGTGGCAGTTGAGCATCTCGGCTGCTTCGCCCGGAGGCATTGAGAATATATCGCAGCCAGCTCCAGCGTGACCACAGAGAGCAGCTCTTGATACGACAGATTCTAGTGATGTTTCACCTGAGGTAGTTGGTGCATGGACTCTGAAAAGGTATCGCGGGATCTTCTTCAGGGCTGAAGTGGCATGCCCATATGAAGGGCCGGGTGTAAAACGCACACAGCCGGGGCTGATGCGCTGAGTGGTAGCAGAGTCAGTCTTGGTAGCCATTCTGAGGACACTTTGGCCTATATCAGACGTCGAGGGGTTATTTGTGGTGTCGTCGGTGTAATGAGGTAGACTTTAGACGATGTTGCTTTGGGTGAAAGATTTGCTGTCAACCAACACCAGTTGAGTACCGAACATGGGTGATAAGCACAAATGAAGATGAACTTGTAAGAACAATCGTCAGAATAAAATGTGGTTTGAAACAAAGTGTAGAGTGATAGGCACCCGATCGGTACCTAGTGACAAGTCTTATTTATCCAATGATTGTGATGTTAGCTCAAAGTCCTCTGTTGCGCAATTCTCCAAATTGACGGCCTCCTGCATCGTATTTTATGCACGTAGGCAGGCGATGACGGATACCGCAGGCGCGATAGGCAGCCATGCTGATTAATGAAGAATCGGTAATTAAGCTGTTGCAGCTGATAACCACATGATGAATGCCTCTTCGTTGTTGGTTTGCATGTCTGCCTTCTAACAAAGACATATCTTTTCACCTCCATAGGATGTTAATGGGAGGCTCTTGACATGTTTAGAAACATGTCTGGATGGCAGAATGGAAGATGCTCGCTGCGTGTGGAGACTGATAAGATAAGGTTAAGCTATCGATGGAAGCCGGGAGAGCGCCCGCCTCGGTGGTACCTTCGGAGATCCCTTTTCTCCGCATTCCGTTGGGCTTCCGTCTGTTCCCCAACGAATCAGAGCGTCCCGCTTCGGCCGTGTGGGGACGGCATGCTGGCAGTGAACCTCTTCAGCGCCGAATCGGGCCACGGTGCCCCCTGGCCGTGGCAGCCCATTGGGAGTGGGACGTGCGGCCTCAGTGAGGTCAGTGCCTGGCTTGCCTGGCCCACACCAGAGCTTCAACACCTTCCACTGCTATCTGTCCAGGGGAATCGCAACCACCACGAACAACTTGCCTTTCATCACGATCCATTCTCCACCTTCCTCACCAACCGCCAGCTTGACTCGCGTCTTTCATACGACCGCCGACGACCATTCTGCATATCAGCGACATTGAACGATACCCAGCGATCCTATTTCCAGCCTTCGTTCCGTCCCTAGCCCGTCGATCCCCCGGCACCTCCGTGCTCCCGAACTCCACGATCTTCAACCACCTACTCACCTTTACCCTGCAATCCTGGCTTCCCCGGCCGGGTTAGCTGGCCGAGGACGTCCAGCGCCAGTCGAATGAATGCAACCCCTAAATCCATTCCTCGCTGCCTTCTTCCGAAGCTCCCTACCCTCACAGTGTACCCCGGTACATCACCACATCCTACTGGTCCCAACCACCGATGTCCTCCTCACATGTCGCGAAGTCGAGAGCGGCTCGACCTTCCACGAGCTCATCACTTCGGAGGAGTTCCTAGCTAGTCATGTGCTTCGCATTCCCGCTGCAAATACGGCCTCTGCTGCGGGCGGGAAGGACGCGGCGCAAAACCTGCGCGAGCTGAGGGGCAAGGCGAAGCAGTATCAGACCATCAATGGTCGCACAGTCGTCATCAAAGATACACACGTCTACAGTAACAAAGGTGCGCCTGGATATGCAACACGAAACCGCCTGTGACTGACAATTGTATCGCAGGCTTCAAGTCGCTTGCGCAAGCTCAATTACTAAACGATTCGACATGGTATCCCGACCTCCTTGAGCCCCGCCAATGGCTGATTTACTACATCTCGCGACCACTGGTGGGGGTATGGGAAGAGACCAAGATCGAGCCTGCCATATTGGTAGAGGGAATGGCGAGGAGGAAAGCTCTTGAACAGAGTCAGGCGGCGGCTGCCGAGAACGGCGAAGGCGCCATGCTTCCCCGGAAGAAGGACATCAAAAGCTTCCACGACCTCCTCAACCATTTTCCTATCATCGCACGACAGATGCAACCTGGATTAGAAAAGCTGTTTCGAGAGTTTACGACCGTGTTCGAGCGACCGCTCCCGCCGCCCCCTTCGGCGTTACGCATACCCGACCCCGAGCCCGACGGACCTATCACTACGGCCATGAGGAAGGCGCGGTCCAACAGCATGTCCGCAGCAAGGCGCCCCAATGGGTTGACTAACGGTCTTCCCGTGACGGAGAACTTCTACGCCGAGGACGACGAAGATGTGATGAGGGCTTCATTGGAGACTGCCGTCACAGCCGCCATCGACTTGTTCCAGGGGGTTGACAAGCAGCAACTCTCGATGCTCGGCGCTACGACCGACCTGACGGGCCCTCTGGTCGAAAGACTCATCGAAAGATACGTCACCGAGAATACACACCACCTCCTATTTCCGCGACTTAGTGCATCAAAACGACCTTATGATCTCGAGTTGGAGGCCAAGATTCGGCAGATGGAGTTCATTGATCTATCACAGCTTGGCATCTCCATAGAAGGTGGTTCGCGAGGGAAGCATGAGTTGACGATACAGCTTGGTCTGGCCGTGGAGGAGTTCAAGAAGACAGCGAATGCCATGAGCCCACAAGAGATGCTCGATCTGCTTCTGTCAACCATGAAGCTGGTCACTCATTTGACAGAGTCGTCACGAGCGCAAGCAGCCTCTTCGACCGAGAAGCCTACTCTGACAGTCAATGCCGACACGCTAGTCTCGCTGTTGCTCTTCGTGGTCATCCGGGCACAAGTTCGGCACTTGCACGCTCGACTCATCTATATCCGTCACTTCATCTTCATTGACGATGTCGACAACGGCGAGATGGGATATGCACTGAGCACCTTCGAAGCTGTCCTCGCATACCTCGCACTAGACTCGTCAGGGTTACGAAGAGCCAGCCGACGAAACAAGGCGTTATGGAATGCTACTTGCAATGGAAGCCTTGACGATTTGAAGAAGATCATGGAACCAGACGAGAACGCCATTCTCGACGAAGACCTTTATGATTCACCAGAATCAAGTCGACGCCCTTCTCACAGCTGGAGCTTCACCAACGGGTCTGCCTCAAGGAGATCGTCAACGGCAGTCACGATCTCGGATCGCTTCTCATCAGGCTCTGGCCTGAGCCACGTTTTCCCATTCCAGGCCGAGGATGATGGCAGTGAGATCGACTTTCCTTTACCACCGCCCCCTCGCAAGGTCAAGAGGGTCGCCATGGATACACGAAGCATGTCCAGCGGCTCGGAGATCTCGTACCACTCGAGGGCGACTAGCAATGGTACCATTGGAAGCGTCCTTGAAGGCGACATCACTATCGATCGTCTTTCGCAGACGCACAACGCATTCGGGGAATCAATCTTGATGATGGCTGTGCAAAACGAAAGGCCTGATGTTCTGCGGTACTTGCTAACGTTGAGCGAGTACTATCCTCTTTCTGTCATTCTGGACGACATCAACAACGAAGATACGACACTTTTTAGCGCCGCGGTCCAGCTGGGGCATACGGAACTGATTAATATTATTCTCGACTTCATTTCGAGGCTGGCGGCAAGAGAGCGCCTAATTGAGCATTTTGCTCAGCAAGACATTTGGGGGCGCAGCTGTGCGCATTACCTGTTCCATGCCCCGTTTCTGATTTCTCGGATCGGGAGATTAGTCCCCTGGCGGCAAAAAGACAAGAATGGCCAGACGCCGCTTTTTGCGCTTTGCAGGTCGTATGACCATATCCACTACCGCGAAATGGTGGATGCCGGCCTTGATGCGGCCACGGAAGCGCAGCGTGACGGGCTTCCGCTGCACATTGACGATCATGTGGACGCCAAGGGGAACACTTTGCTTCACATTGTCAACGACCCACAGCTGGCACTCAGGGTGCTCCAGCAATGCGATGTCGATGTCAACGCCACGAACGAGAAGAAGTTTACGCCGTTAATGGTTGCTAGCAAATATGGCAGGCTAGATATGGTCAGAACGCTATATGTGGACGCACGCGTCGATGTTGCAGCCCGAGAAATCCGAAGCCTGACGGCCGTTGAATTGGCCAAAGATGACGACATCAGGAATAAGATTGATGACCTGGCACTCTTCAGCATGCCCCCTGGCGCGGATGCCCGTATCACCGGTGTCGTGAGGGCCTTTTTCGTTGAAGATGCGACCATTCGGTTGGTCTTGAAATCGGCCGCCCCAGCCGACCACATGAGCTACACCGTCACGACAAGCCGCAGGAATCTGTCTGATTTTGAGCACCTCGGAAACTTGCTTGCGTTGGAGAACCCGGCGTCCTGGATCCCGGCTGTGGCCGGCGTGCGGTCGCCCTTCCAGATACCCTCAAAGCCGTCTAGGGCCGTGCTACGGGATATCCAGACTAGGGCAGACTGGTTCCTCAAGATCATGCTCAATCATCCCACATTCGCGACACATGAGATGCTCTGGGAATTTTTCCTGGTACCTGATATTCAACTAGGCATGATGGAGCAAAGAAGTAACCTGAAAGCCGAGACGCGAGCCGAGAAAGTGCGGGAAGAGTACGAGCCCGTCAAGGATGTGCGAGAGGTCGAACAATTCGTCGATCATGCTAGAGAGATGGTGCGGAGCGTCAATTACTCGACCAAGAGCGTGGCAAGAAGGGTCAATTCCATCGCCATTGTTGCTTCAGGTAAGTTCTGTGTCTGGTAACCAAATGGTTTTGGTCTGGACTAACGAGAGCAGATCTACACGACGCATCAGTCCTTCTGCACCGCGCTGTTTCGACATTGCCGTTCCTTCCACCTGCATACATCACGGCGATGGATTCTTATGTCCGTACCCTCGTACCAATGCAATCGAATCCTTACGGGATCTTCCACTCGACGTTCCTGGCATCTCAATCGACGATCCAAGCCCTGCTATCGGCTCTGTCGCGGCCGCCAGCGCAAATCACGCAGATATCGGCTGCGCGCAAAGCCGTAGAGCGAAACTACAACTCGCTCACGAGATCGACAAGGTGGCCTCTTGGTTTACTGGATGACACGCGACAACGCCTCAACGAGGAGAGGGAAGAGAAAGCCCGCCAGTCACAGGAGCAGGTGGACGACCTCGGTCGAGAACTTCGATACTCGCAACAAGTAGTGGCCGGGGAACTAGCCGGGTGGCAAGACCTGCACGAGAAGATGGGGCGACGAGCGATCAAAGAATTCGCCAAAGGCATGGTGATCCAGGAGCGGCTCCGGCTGGATGGGATGATGAGGACACTACGGAGGCTGCGGGAAGGGAAAGCGGATCTCGAGGCAGCATCGGCAAACGTTTCAGGGCGGTCGAGTATGAGTCAATCGACGCACGAGGGGACGAGGAGAGATGCAGGTGAGGGAGCCAGCAGTGGGAGCACGAGAACGGGCGACGTGGTGGCGAATGGTGCGGGATACTAGAGGCTAGAGGCCTAGGTAGCCCTGGTTTCGTTTTGTATGGGGCGGGCGACGACGTCGACTGCCGTCTGCCTTGGGGTGGCTTGGTATGGACATCGCTTTTCTTTGCCCTTCAACACCAAGAACCGACGCGTTGTATGCGCAAGTTGGACGCGTCTGGGGATCAGCGGTGGCTGTGAGTGGGTAGGTGATTGTGGCGTGGGGCGGATGTTGCGTCCAAGTCAAGTCCGCTGCAGCGGATGACTGCAGCTGACGGAGAAGGGTTGGTGGGTGGTGTCAAGTCTGGGATGCCGCAGACCACATCACCTGCATGGAAACACACACACACACACACAACTTGGTTGTTGAAACGTTGAAACATCTTCCCTCGTGGTCGCTGTCCTGCTCTCTTACACTACCTACTCTTTCCAAACCCTTTACCTTTCTTGATTGTCCTTTTGTGTAGCAAGGTAGAGAGACAGAGAGAGACACTTGTCTTGTTCTTTTTTTCGTTTCATTTGACGGATACCCTTTTGGCGTCCTCGGCGTGGGCGTAATGATAGACGGGGGAACCTCACTTTGAATGACCTTTTATTTTTTCCAGGGTCCCCTTCCTCCACTTGAGAGCTGGGGCAAGGGACAACAGATAGACAATGGATACATGAGGATACCTACCTTCTTAAGGTACACCGCAAAGTTCAAACTAGATGAAATGATTCAGTGGTTCGTGCTTGGGTAGATGTGTTGGTAATCAAGTGACGTCGATTTGGTGATGCCCGGTTGCAGGGAGACAATGCATAGTGTGAGGTGAGGTGGTCGTGCTAGACCCCAGCCTCCCCAATTTTTCCCGGGCTGCTCCGGGGACCTTTGTGGGAGAAAGATGCCCGCTTGGAAGTACACCGACCCGAACTGCCGGGGTTTGTCGAAAAGAAAAATTCAAAAGTCTTGCCAACATGTCCTTGTTGAAGCAGCAGAAAAGATTGTCGTTGATGCGTTTTTTTCGTTGTGGGAAGAAGATCCACCGTCGATGGACAACGAGATGTGAGTCACCCTTCCCTGTACCGGTTCCAATGGCCAAGAGCAACCATCATGCACGGCAATGCTAGGGGAGAGAGACAGATATTCGGAGCTAGTAGAGCTGCCGAACCGGGGCGAGGCAAGCTACCTTAGTACGCAGTACCTTACGGAGTAGAGAACGCACAAGGGAAAAGAGTCCGAAAGAAGAACGACGACGGGAGAACCATTGAATCGAGAAACAAAAGAGCGGTCGTGAAACATCCCGGGAGGACGGCTGGGCCAATGAAGCGGTCGGGACACGGTTGGAGGGATCTTTGGGGACCCGATTGGATGCCGGGCTGGACCGGGGTCGACACGGGGAGTGGAGTTGTGGACACCACGAGCGACGAACGGGCGACGGATGGATCTTCTGAAGTTCTGGCAGGTTGAACGGACCGTGGGAAGTCGTGGACGGATCTACGGCGCGTCGAGATTGGGTGGTGCGCGCGCGTGGTTGGGAGCCAATGGGATTACGAGGCGGGGGGGAAGGGACAAGAGGAGGGAGAAAACGGGCGATGGATGACAAAGGGTGGCACGGACCAGGGCAGGGACACCGCGTCTAAGAAAGGAAGGAGCACGGACTCTGCCTTACCTTCCCTTGGAAGGGGATGGAGCACGGGCCACGGGAGCGAAGCGGGAAGGAGGGAAGGAGGTCAAGCGAAGGGCAGACTTTGGATGCTGACTGGATCTTGGGTGTGGCGCTTGGGGGGAGAGGGGATGACGGGGACGAGGGGGAGATTTGAGAGTAGAGGTGGCATTAAGCGCTGGAGTGCGGCTGTGCAATCGTTGCGCAATGCCGTGTCTCCCGTTTTCTCATCTGGTGAGGAGTAGAGTCGTACTACATCGACCGAGGGGGACGATAGCCGAGGGATGCTGTGCTTGAGGGATTATGCGAATCATGGAGCAGAGATGGACCGGCGATTATCATGCCTGTAGTATCCTCGTCGCTTTCTACAATTCGACGATGAAGAAGGTTCACGAAGTAGACTGATGATCAACCGCCTCATTAGGTTCGCCATTCAAGACGTGCTACAGTGTATCAACGTTACAGATGGCGGTTGTGCTGCGAGGCTTAGACTTCCCGCTCATAAGCTCACCGAGACATGCGCGGCTACGGCATCATGCGGACGTAAGCAGCAGGCTCTGATGGCCAGTTTCTAAGCTGAGGACCAAACCCTCATTGTCATTGTCAGCAGGCCCGACCTCGGGGCCGTGAAGGCTGAGGGTCGGTCAGTCGTCTCCGTACCTTTGTGTGTGTAAGGTGAGGTGAGGGGCTTCGTGTAAGAGAGTGAGACTGGTCATCAAGCAAGGCGGCTGCCTCTTCCTGGAGCCCATTATCGAGGCCCACCGGTTCCCAGATGATGCTGGGAGCGCTCAGCGAGATTGAGAATATGAAATTTGGCTGTAAGCGCCGTCCGGAATCGGGGGTGGAGTGTGGTGGTCGTCATTGCTAGCCGTAGCCGCCCGGGCGGTTAATGGGGAAGCGGAGGCTTTCTGAGCGAGCGGCTGTTTCGGGAAGAGTAACGTGGGGTTCGGCTGTTTCTTTTCTTGTACGGTGCCAATTTCCGCGCGCACCTTGACGCCGGATGGTAACACTGGGAGAGGGCCTCTGAGGCGAGAGAGGGCTTCTGGTGTCTTAGTGGGAGAGACAGCATGATGCGACAGCCGCCGGTAATCTCAGTTGCCGCTCGGCTCATGTGATTGCGAGAGGGTACCTCAGGGACCCGAAGCCTCAAGGCGCTCAGGTGAGCGAGGCTTAGGTGGTGGTACTTGACCGCGGAGGCCAGGTGGTGGAAATGAGGCGGTTGATGAACTGTATCCGTATACGAGAAAAGGTTGACAGAACAGGACTGTCGAAGCGGTGCGGACTGCGAGATGTGCTGGCACGGCTTTTGCGAGGAGTGTGGGCGACGGGTTGGGAATGCCCTCGCGGACGAGTCGCGATGAAGTCAGTCAAGACGCGAAACCAGAGCGAGACCGGAAAAGACGCATGGCATGGCATGGCATCGCATGTCACGACGACGCATGACATCGCGTCGAATGATCGTCGTACACCACACGAGCGCGTCTACCTAGTGTAGTTGTGTAGGTACGGCTTGGAGGGTGAGAGAAAGTGGTGTTGATGTTTGTGTTGCGTTCGTCCCACTCCCGCCCGTTCTGCTGTGGGGGACGCTAAGAAGCAAAGCTAACAGAGTGGAGAAAAGATGAGCTAATGCACGGCCGAACCTGCCATGTGTCTAAAAATGAGTCATAGACGCTTTGCAGGGGGGACGAGGAAGGTACGAAGGTGGAAACCCAGGGATTCAAGGAAAGAGCAGTTGATGCAAGACAGCTGTCGTGGACGGTGAGTGGTCGACAGCATCTTCTCGGTTTTGTTGTACGTACCGTTTCTGATAATTGAATACACACTGTTTTGTGGTCAGTCCTAATGTGACATGGACAGTGCGCAACTAAGCGAGCGACTCTTCCCGCAGGCTCCGCCTTCAAAGGGATCCACATTGAAAGATACGTACCCTTCAACGTCCTTGGTGAGGTGGAAGGCAGTGACGGCCAAATCCAGAGAGACCCCGACTGATACACCTCGACCTCACCTCACCACCTCACCTTACCTTACCAACCCGGCCAAACTCAACGAAAAGCTTCAAGTTCTTCTTCTGCATCTATGCGGCGCCAATGTACTTCCAAGTGGACTAACCTTCACACACTTTGGCCCCGTGTTTCAGATTTCTAGCTCTCTCAAGTTCTCAACGCCGTAGTGGGTCGACGACCTCACTTCTGCATTCCCAGCATGCAGCCCAAGATGCAGCATTTCATCGACGAGTCCACCCTTTTTCCCCTTCCTTCTGCAGTAGCTCCAAGCTACCCTGTTTCCTGTGTCCTTTTGTGTCTTGCCGGGGTCAGAAGATAGACGACCGTCTTTCTCTCTTCCTCCACCTCAACATGGGATACACACTACCTTACCGTAACTACGTAGTCGAGAATACGTATCCATCCAACTTTTTCATCAGTCGTCTGGTCTCGGCCCACGATCCGTCCAAGGGACCCTGGCATCGACAGACTACAAACCCCCAAGCCGGATGCGCGCAGCTCAACCCACAGTTGCGTTGTACCGCTGCTTCTCTACCCTCCCCTCGTCAGTTGATGGGGCTAGAGACCCAGACTTGGGCCCGACGACCTACGGTCAGTCCAAGGCTGGGGCCGGGGCGAAGGCCACACGCCCTCACTCCAGTCGGCCGTCAGTCGCGCGCCGCATCACCACCACCATATCCATTGGGCTACGAGCCTCAAACCCGAGGATAAAGATGTCCTCCCCTCCCGCGCCTACTGTCCCTTTCTGTCGGCCCCTTCTCTCTCCATCCTCATCTCGTCTCCTCGTCTCCTTTGCGCTCTCGTCCTCTCATCCTCGTCTCAGTCTAAACTTATTATCAAATCGACCTTTGTTTGTTTACTATAACTCGCATTATCTGGATACCAAAACAAAAAAGTTATACACCTAGATCTCTCGGAACGCCCTGGTCTCGTTGAACGCGGCCACTTCGTCCCTGCTTCACAGCAACCCCCGTCTGCTTTTCCCATCGCAACGCAATCCTCAAACGCCAAAGAACTCCTGGAGCTGGCCTCCTCTCTCTCACGAAACACCTCTCATAATCCCATAATCCAACCAACCTACACAGTCACAATGTCCACGTATGAGATGCCCCCTGCTTCTCGCCTCACTTACACCCCCACTAACACATCATCCCACAGTCTGGCAGCGGATATGTCTTTCGACTTCATCTTCCCCTCGTGCGAGCCCTCCACGCCGCCGAGTTTCTCCTTCGACTCTTCTCTCCTCGATCTCCCCTACCACCACAACCCGGGCCACAACCGCTCCCGCTCAAATGGTTCCGTCTACTCCTTCATCTCTGCCGCAGACTCCACACCGGACTCGGTGAGCACACGCATGACAACCCCGTCTCGTGCCTCACCCCCGATCCGCCAACACGGCCCCCTCTTGCTTCCCAAGATCCGCTCCCAGGACCAAGCCATCGAGTCGCCTCCCAAGCGCATGAAGGCATCGCCAAAGCCCCGCGCCCCGGTTCCCAGACGGGCAACCCCCGTGGCCCCCACCACCAACGCCGTCTTCCGCCCGGCTCACACTCGCAGCTTCACCAACCCGGAGACCCTCACATGGAACATGCCCTCCACTTACTGCAGCCAGCCCGAGGAGCAGACTCCTTCGTCCCTTCTTTGCTCTCCCATCATCTTCGCCGATGATATGCAATCTCGCCGTGCGTCAACCTGCAGCCTTGAGGGTGTCGCCCTCGAGAAGTTCGGCTTCCCGACCTACCGTCAGATGCCCTCATACGTTCCCTCTCCTGCTCCTCAGCAGCCATCAGAGGCATACATGTTCCCCTCCTACACTCCTCGTGCGCCGTCTCCTCTCAGCCTGTCCGCCGCTGCTACTCCGGACCCGACTCCCAGCACCACTCTCATGACTTACCTCACCGGATCTAACCCTGCTCCTTCGCTGGTGCGCACCATCTCGTTCCCTCTCCGGGATCCCAACACCAAGCACTTCTGGTGGGACGTTCGCCAAATCCGCCCCTGGACAACCTTCAACGCCTCCTCCGTCCTCTCTCTCCCTGGTGCCGCCGCCCTTCTCAACTGCCCCGTTCCGGCACCTCTCCTCCCCAACCCGGCCCCAACTGCCCGCCACCCAGAGACGGAAGCCGCTCTTCACAGCATCTACGCCTCTCACTACCTCCCCAAGCTCAACGCCGCGCTCGCCATCTCTTCTCACAGACCCATGCAGCTCTCTGCTCCGGCTCCCTCTGCCACCGTCAAGCAGCCCGAGCTGCTCTTCACCGCCTCTCCCGCTGGCGAGCCCGCCTCCGCTGCCACCATCTTCGGTGGCAAGCCCACCGCTCGCGTCGTCGGCCTCGTCCGCTCCTTTGACCGCTTCAACACCGGCATGCGTGTCGAGGGCAACATCAAGCGCGTAGAGTACCTCCGCGGCCTCGCCGCCCTGCACCACGCCATGCGCGAGCACTCGTGCCGCTACGGCTTCATCCTCACAGAGATTGAGCTCGTCATCGTCCGCAACGGCAGCGAGTCCGTCCCCCACTTTGGTCACCTCGAAGTCACCTCCGTTCAGCTTGCCGCCGTCGCTGACGATGCCGACTGCGAGGTCGGCGAGATTCCTCTGACTGCCTGCCTTGCGCTCTGGGGCCTCTGCATGATGGCTGGCGACGATGCGCCTCAGCAGCAGGGCCGCAGTGCCGTGGCGCACTGGAAGACGGAGATTGGCGCACCTGCTGAGGGTACCCGACGCAAGGCGCTGCCTAGGGATGATTGGATGCCCAAGCCGCAGTTGGCTGAGAAGCGTGAGGCCAAGAGGGCGAGAGGCTGGGTCATGCCCGAGGACCCCGTCGGCAGGAAGGAGTTGGGTAAGAGAGGTGTGCGGTACGGTGCTTGCTGAGATGTTTTTTTCTGCTTTCTGCTCTTTTTTTTTGGAATTATTTGTTCGTCTGCTTTTATCTTGGCGTTTTGAAAAAGAGTCGCTTGGGCTGGTTCCAGACACTCTTTCTGGTGGGTGGATATGGGTACATAAAAAATAATTGGGATGGGACATGACTGGGAATGGATCATGACTGGATGATGGGTAAACCATGGGACATGTATTTACAAGGATTTCGGTAGCTGAGACGAGGGACTTTCACGAGTTGCATGACGAGGCATTCTTTCATAGTACAGATGCAAGTTATTTAGATGACTTGCAATTACAACCATTTTCATGTTCAACCTTCTTCTTCCGACCTTTCTCTGCTCTTGAACTTCGCTTTGTGATCATGATAATGTAAAGTCCATCAGTATCCTGTGGAAAAGTGACAGCAGCTCCAAATAGACTGTTCGAGTTCCGCGGGAGTCACAATCCGTGCGCGCGGTATTTGAAGTTTCAGACGTACTTTCTGTGCCGTAAACCTCAACCAGTAAGCGCGCTTGACGAGGCCAGACTCTGGCGGAGCAAGGATGAGGCTGGCATCGTGAACAAAGAAAAAGGGCCTCCCGTCCGCCCGGGCCAACCCGAGATCGTTGGTTTGCTAATGCGAGTTTCAGGGAGGTACTGCTTTATTTATCTTTGTCTCCTACTTAAGGGACTCTATAATTACATTATTGTCCGCAGGAGTCTTTTTCGTTTTTGATTGTCCCGTGTTTCACTGTGATTAGGGGTCCGGTGAAGATAATACCTTATATCAACATCAGTCACGAACTCCCAACTTCTCGTCGATTCTTTGCTTTATAGGACTACATACCCACAACCCCATAATGAAAGGATTCAATCACAACACATAACAGTGACTCCTAGAAAGAACCGGAATATGAAGAACACCGTAGTCGTGCTATGGAGCCTCATGGCTGTGGCATTAGCCATCCCACTCGGTAAGCAAACCGCTCTCTTCCCCTTCTCCTAAACATCACACTACAAAACAGGACCAAATGAAATTCGTGACCCATTACTGACGAAAGACACACAAAGACTCGTTGGCAGCAGATCCCGACGCGCAAATCTGCCAGGCCTTCTGCGAGGGCGCGTGCCCGGAAGGGTGGACGAAGAAGGCAAACGACACGGGCGCTGGCGCGGCGCAGGCCTGTGCTTCGGGGACGGGGGCGTGGTGCTGTCAGAGGTTTCTGCATTTTCCGCCGCAGTAGATTGGTCTTCCGTCAAGAATGTTTGTTTGGGAAGCTGTAAAGGCGTGGACTGATGATGAGATTCATGACTGGGTTGGGAGTTGAGGAGTTTTGGAGATGGGAAAAACCGCACGGGGAAAGCGGCAATGAAGGGTGTTTTGTTTGTTGATACAGATACAGATCCCCCATAAAGAAATCGAGGTCTTCAAATGTTCTTCCGTTTTTACAGATCACAGCCGTTTGAGCTGTTCCAGAGGGCCTTCTCATAGCCTCACAGCTACGAGCTTCCTCATCGCGGCTCCATCTCATTCGCCGACTTCGCTGTCCATCACCAAAAACAACTCTCCTCAACGTCGATCTCGAGCAAATACCGTCCTGATCCCTGTGACGGCAACCCATCCGATGACAACAACAGTGACAGCTATCCGGATCTCCCTGACGACGTCCACGGCAGCGGGTCCGAAGTGGATGGCGTGGATGTGGTTTATCGCGCCCGAGTGCGCTGCTGAAAGGCCGAATTGCTCCATCTTGATTTTCATTAGCTCAGTATGGTATGAGTTGAGCTGTGCGGCATGGCGTGAGAAGCTTACAGTTTTGATGGTGAGGTTGAATGGTGAGGCGAGAGAAAGGGATATGGTTGGAGTTGACTGAGTGATGGAGAACTTTTTTGTGGGGTCGTGCATTACGTCAACGAATCATGGTTGCGGTTGGGGTTCACCGTTGAAGAACTTCTGGCAGTTACGTCCCGAAGATGGCGAGACAGATTGTTGAATCCGGTTCATCTTTGGCATGCAGATTCAGAGATGGGCTTTCACTACATGAAAGAAGTTGGGAATCTTAATGACTTTTGTTGCAACCCCGCAATTCAGCTCAGGCACTGACGCCGACAACTTCTCCACTTTCTCTGCACATTGGAGCTGAAGTCTCTTCCCCAAGAAGATCTTCTTACGACAAAGGATGCTGCACCAGCCTCAACTACAAGCCGTCGCGGCGCAAGGATGAGTCCGGTCGGTGGAAAAAGGTAGAAACGCAAAAAAAATAACCCGAAGAGTGGCTTTGCCAATCGCGGTGAGGATTTGAGCCTCACGCGGGGGTCGAACCCGCAACCTTGAGATTAAGAGTCTCACGCTCTACCGATTGAGCTAGCAAGGCGGGTCATTTGAATTGTTGAAGGGTGAGCTCGGTTTGGGCTCTAGGTAGCCTTTTCCTTTGCCGCCGTGGGTGCCCTTGGAGGCCCAGCGGTCTCTTCCCCCTTGAAGCCCTGGTTCTGTATTTCTTTTCTCAGCTCGCGCGGAGATCGTCAAGTTTAGGAACCAAGAGTTGATCTGGGGGGTTTCCCTCAAGTCCGCTGTAACGTACATCTAGGTAAAGCCCGAAATTAACTCTCTAGAACTGATGAATCTGATCCTTCCGATACCCCAACTGCTGCAACACCCCCGGCGCACTTCTCTTCCCCACAAGAGCCGCCTCCATCGCCGGTGGACCGCACACAAACACCTTTGTATCCTCCTTCTTCGGCGCAACCCCGACCTCCTCCAACAACTGTTTCGTCACATATCCCTTCCGGTACGGCGAATTCGCAACAGGGTTGCTGACCGTGTACACAGCCTTGAACCTGCCGGGGAACTCCTTCTCGAATTGCTCAAATTCCTGCTTTAATAGCACATCCTGGTCCGAGTTGACGCCGAAGACGAGCGTGATGGCGGTCTTGTCTTCTGGGTTGCGGAGGATGCCCTGCGCGAGCTGGTAGATTGGCGTGATGCCTGCGCCGCCGGCGATGAGGGTGATGTGGCTGTAGCTGTTGGGCTTCCATTGGTGGCCTTTGATGGCGAGGGCGAAGAGGAGCTTTTGGCCTGGTGTGAGGGAGTGGATGTGTGTGCTCTGCTTGCCGTCTGGGTATTTCTTTACCATGAGCTCTAGGTAGCCGGTGTCATCTTGCGTTCAATTAGTATTTCATGCCCAGAGTGCAATGAGAAGGTCATTGGGTGGTTAATCTTGTTCTTACCGAGAGGTTGCACGGGCGTATAAGGCCTAGCGACGGGAAGCCACCTGCCCTCAGGCCATGACATGGTCAGGACAGCAGCTGTTCTCGAACATCAGCAACTTTCTTTCCCTTGGAGCTCATATGATCGCAAACACTCACACGTCAATGAAAGACCGCTGACCGCCTCCCTCTGTGGTAACTTGAACCGCAATCGCTTGGTGTTGTGGTTCACATCCTCCGAGCTCTCCAACGCAAGCGACACAAACGCAGGCCCCGCCCCAAACACCTTTGGCGGCGCTCCAGACTCGGCAGACGCGCTGTTCACAAACAGCCTCGAGTACGCCGCCAGGCCAATCCCTCCCGCTGCGACGGTAGCCGCAATGGTCGCCGGTCGAACACGGCGTAATGTTACTGATGCCATTCTTCAATTGACTAAAGATGATGTGTGTAGAGACGATATGCAGGTGTGCACTGATGCAAAATGATGTAAACAAAACACTTGCTAGCTAAGCTACGCTATGGAATGCTGCAGGGCGATGGTAGCTTAAAAAGGGGATGCTGAAGCTGACGTAGGAAAGCTTAGGAGGATTCGTCGGGGAGGGTGGCAGACTCGGGACCGAGGCGGGTTGGGGAAAGAACCGATGGTGGGGTTTTGCAGCCGGTATGATTTCGGTCATCCCCAAAAAGTCCGTCACCGATCGGACGATGTCAGCTTCAGCTTGCGTTTGCCGATTTTGCTCGGCAAAAGTGGGATGACCGGAATTGCTCATATGTCTGCATGCAGGTACCGAAAATCAGGAAGTCAGGTCTTCGTCAAGGAATGTTGTTCTCGATTCATTAGCGCCCCTTCTGGTATGTCTTTGGTGGTATTCAACTCTTCTGTGTGGGGTGAACAGAATCTACGTCCAAGCTGCCCTATGAGGAGTCCAGAGTGCTTTCGACATGCGGTGTTACCAGCCATGGTGCGGTGAACTCTGCCTCGCAAAGACTGGACAAGATCAGCAGGCTTTTGAAACGGGATTCACTTGGATTTGGTTCACATTGCCTCATCTTTCCTGGGATGGCTGATGGTTCCGCCCCTTTGTTGGTACGGCGCTCCGTACCTTGAGCTTCGGAACGGACTACGGTGGCGGGGCGGGGTACAGACCAGGTGTCGTCGTTCGGCTTTCAGCATTCCTTCTAACAACGAATTTGGCGTTGGCCAGAGCTTGTAAGCTACCCATCATGCTTTTTGTTGGTGCTACCTCATAAATGTATGGTAAAGATTTGGCGGTAGATGAAGAAGCCTCGATAAAGCATGTTGGCTTTTAGTTCTTTCGTATCCCCAGGTAACTTTACCAAACTACCGCTGTTGCTCATCACCAAAGTACCTATTCACTGTTTCGTATCAAAGTGCAAGGCCCAGCACCAATCGAATGACCACCGGCCAGACAGCCTGGAAGTGAAATGACGAGACTGAGAAACCAAGGTTCTTTGGCGATGCGGCCACCATCAACGAAGGGTAGGTAGTGCGATGATACAGCCCGGTCGGAGACCAATAGTGTGGTACGAAGATGTTGAGGGAATGAACAACCTTGATCAGACTCATTGAAATGAAGTTCGTGTTGAATGAGACGTACATTCTGTACTGTCGTCTCTTGAGTATAAGACTACAACTTCCTATGTGCTTAGAATGTTCCATTACCAGCCAATACCAGCATCGAAACAGCCTACAGACAAGTTTTCAGAATTTCACTAAACTCTTCACTGGTGAGTATTTGGCATAATTGAATTATGGCAAGTCGTATCGAGAATTGCTCACAAGCGGCCTAGTCTACTACCCTCAGCCAAGCAACGTCGCCAAATTACTATCCACTTCAAAATGTGCAACTGGGAAGAATTCATTCACACCTGCGATCACACGGTTCTCAGGGTCAAAAACCAATGCGAGTTCGTTCGGAACAATGGCAGGCCTTGTAAGGGTGTCGCGGCGCTTTAAGTCAGCTGGTTCCAGAGCTGGGAATGCGATGACTGCGTCATTGCAGAGGTCGGCAAAGACCACCTTCACTACTTTCACAAGCATAAAACGCATGTCCTCCCA